TCTTACCCAATCATTTTATACTCTTCATCTGTCTCACAGTCTCACGTTCTCCTTGCTTCTCAAGCTGCGGGAACATCGCCTGTGCGTGCTTGAATGCCTCTACTTGCCCAGACAATTCGTACGTTTACATCTGTTCGTGTGTGTAGTCTTGGCTCATTCAACGTTCAATGTGTCAGGTGCTTCTTGAACGAATGCCGTTCCTTGTGAGCCTGGACCTGGACATACTCCGAAAGACTGTTTCGTGGGAGGCGTCGCTCAAATTCGACCATGCCAAGCGACGCTTGACCGAGGGCAAGGCGTACAAAGCACAGAAGGTAGGCCACTCGCTGCTTGCGCTCATGCTGTTAGGTTTTTGTTAATACTGACCCCCACGCGCTGCTTCAGTTGATTTGGCTGTCGATCCGTTACCTCATCTTCGCCATCCAGTTGATCGACAAGGTGAGATGATCTCTTTAGTGGAGCCCTGTTGTGCTCAGCACTAACCCAAATGGCATTGGCGCAGGGCCACATTCATGACTTCCAAGCGGCCAATGAGCTCTGGGCGAGTACGCACCTTTGCAAGCTTGCAGCACCCTTGGTGAACCACTCACTCACTCTTGTTTCTGTCCTACCGCAGAGATCTGTCAAGAAGAGGTCAAGGATTGGGACTACGTAGAGGAGAACTTCCGGCCCATCTTCAAGGCCTACGACAGTCAGTTCAAGCTCATGCGGTACCACCACTCTTCATTCGCTCGCGGCCAATGCTGCATGAACTGATTGCTGTGGTGATGCAGGAACTTCAACGACTTCTACAGCAAGGACGACCTTCAGTCCAGCACGTGGCTGGCACTTCACATGCACCCATCCACGAACACTACCAAGGCCGAGGTACTGTCTCACAATTGCAGCGGGGCCATTGATGCGTGACTGACACAACTGTTATGGCTCAGGTCCAAGCGTCTGATGACCCCGCGAAGCTTCACACGCTGGCGATCGTCAACTATCTCCGAAAGCATGGTCTGAAAAAGCTGGAATCCGAATACACGATCGTATCTTGCCGGTTGGTTGATCCTCACTACTGTGGCATAGCTGCCCTCTGACAATACATTGATCTCTCTCTTCTGCAGACATCGCAAGTACCCAAACCTTGTGCAGCTCTCGTCGACCGCGTTTACGACCCTGGTACGACATGGAATCATCTTTGGCTCTGTTGGGTGTATCTCACAATGTCATGGACACTAGGACGGCGATGTGGGAAGATCAGCCAAGGCACTGATCGTGGACGAGAATTCGAATTGGGAGGTGGTGGCCTACTTCTACCCCCAAGCGGTGCACGCCATTGATGGCTCATACCAGGCGCTGAAGTGGGGTGAAGTCAAGGTCTACGAGAAACTGGGTACGGCGAGAGCCTTGGCCGCAGTGGAAGCTTCTACCTTGCACGGCTGATGGGTGGTCCGGCAATTTATGTGACCTTGCAGATGGCGCGCTCGCCGTGCTGTACCACTACAAGGACGAGTGGCACGTTGCGACTGCACGTATGTAGCCCACCCCTTTCCACTGGTGATTCAGAGCTCACTACTGACCGAGCCCCGTTATGGTGCTAGGTGTTCCCGATGCTGACGAGGCGGTCTGCTGGAAGAGCCTCTCTGGCGAGGCATGTACCAAGGCCCGCATGGCAAGGGGTTGATAGGACTTACATAACCCATGGGTCTCCCTCCCCTTTTTTCCACCGCAGGTCCCTCCAAAGCAGACCTTCAACAAGAAGTTCTGGGACACGTGGACTGCACTGGGCTACAGGCAACCGAAGGACATCACCAAGTAATTCCAGCATCCCAGTTTGTGTGGTCACAATTGTGAAATGAGTCTAAAATGTGCGATGTCTGTGGCAGATGCTACATGTTTGAGCTTGTGGCTGACGACTTCCGTCGCATTGTGCGATACGAAGCGCCACGCATCGTCTTGCATGGTGTGCGAGATATCACCACCCTCCTCGAGGAAGACCCTGGGGTGTACGCTGTACGTAGGCTTGCTGTTGATGTGTGTGAGGGCTATGGCTCATCCATGACTCGCAAACAGAGCCAGAATGGTTGGGAGTGCGCGCGAGAGTTTCCGCATCTGACAACTCATGAGGAGATACTCAGCGCTACCAAGGGCCTCAACCCGTGGCAACAGGTACGCAAATCATTTGTTGCTGTTTACTTCCAATTCGCTGTGTGCTTACCCAAATCCAGGCCGGCTTTGTCGTGCGTGATGCATTGGGCAATCGGATCAAGTACCTCTCGCCCCAGTACATGGCCTTCTTCTTCGCCATGGGCTGGCAAAACAAAGGTGCGTCCGGATCCCAACTCTCTCTCTCTCTCTCTCTTTTGCCACACGACACACATGACACACCTCCACCGCACACGGCACGACTCATAGAACCCCTCTCCAGGATTCGGTCCTCTCAATCTGGGCGGAGAGAACTTCGACTTTGACTGCCTGGTGGAGGTACACCGCTTCGGGGCGGAGCACACCTTCCTCCACTTCTTCCCCAAATGGGCCGAGCTGATGGCGCAGGCTGCCGGGGAGTATGCCGAGCTGGTGGCCCGCTTCGACGCCTACTATGCCCAAGTTCGCGAGGTGACCGAGCAGCGGGAGCTCGCCCAGCGAGTGAAGGCGCTCGCGCTGCCCAACAAAGCGTGGCCGGCTCTCATCTTCGAGATGAAGAAGGAGGACGTCCGTACGGCGCGCACCTTCTTCGCCTTCATTCCCCGTTCGCGCTTCCTCAAGGTGTGGAAGAGCCACCGCGACCTCTTCCGCAAACCCCGCACGTGATGGGGCAGAGAAAGAAAAAAGAAACATGAATTTCTTTTCGCTTTGATCCTTTTCTTTGTTTTTCTCTCCTTTTCTTTTGGTGCCGCAGCTTCTGTTGCGTGACAGGACTTCAGGCTGGGCGTAGGAGGTTCCGTTTCTTCTGTCAATGTCGTGCTTGTCCGAAGAGGATGCGAGAGAGCGTGTTTGATACTATCCTCCTGGTGGCGACCCTGGTGCTGTTGCTCGGCTGCCACGGCTGGGTAGCACGAGCGCAAGGCAGCGATTGCATCCACGATCCGAGCAATGTGACATGCACCAACTTCACCATGCCCTCAGCCCTCGTGCAGCAAGGGATAAGCGGCAACTGCCAAATGATGCCCAACATGGTCGGTTGCACCGTCGAGCGCATTTGCACATCTCCAGATTCATCGCGAGGTGTCACAAGAAGCCCCTACTGCGCTGAATTCTCTGTCCTCAAGGGTACATCACATCTCCGCTCACTTGATTTATTCTGTGGTTTGATCGGTGCCTTCAACAGCCACACGCTCATCGTCGGACAATTTTCGTGGTGTTGTTCCCTTTGGTGTTGTAGATCTGTGCGTCGACATGCCTGGTATGTCCCCATGCAAGAACTACACGAGCATGTGCTCCAACGTGTCGGTTGTTGCGGAGTGTAGCATGAAGGTACATGCAGTCTTCACTCCGGCCTGTTGGCGTTGCCTTCTGACTCTTCTTGTGTTCGGCTTGTGAATGCAGTCACTGCCTTTGCCCAAGACGATGGCACTCTCCAACACTGTAGAGAAGATGTGCGACGCGATGTACATGGAGCCGTGCAGCAAGTGCAAGAAGCAGGTATGGATCTTCCTTGCCACCTTCACGAAGATCGCCACAATGCTAACCGTTTGTGTAACGTGCAGGGCAAAATGCTTCAATGCGATCTGCTGCAAGTGTACAGCGACCTCTGCTTGGTATTGCTGCGCACCATCATAGCTTGACAACGTTGCATGGGCTCACACTGTTCTTCCCTTTCTTCAGTCCATGTGGATGGATGGATGCGAAGAGTGGCAGAACCTGTGCAAAGTGATTCCCGATTGGCCGCTCTGTGCCTCCGGCCCCGGTGAGGAGGTACGCATAGACCCGAAGTACACATTGCACCACTTGCGCCTAGTAGGCTAAACCAGTCTGTTTCTGTTCTCCTAGATGCCCATGATGAGGATGTACTTCCACAACAGTCTGCTAGACTATGTGCTATTCAAGGTGCCCTGGCCCTTGGCGCCTTTGTCCTTTGTTGCTCCTCTTTTGCTAACGCTTGTCACTTTGTTTTTGTGTCATGGTGATGTCGCAGGAGTGGGTGCCGCGAAACTGGTGGCAGTACACATTGACCATCATCGCCATCATCCTCCTGGGCATATTCTACGAGCTGCTCAAGGTGGGCCGATCGATCTGGGAGGGCTACATGAGCAAGCGCAGGGAGGCCGAGGTTTTGGGGTTCGCTATTCAAAGGCAAGCCCAGTTCCCTTCCTCATCAGGAAGGGATCCCTTGTTTCGAGCCGCCCGCACTTACGGATCGTTCGTGGGCAGGGAGGACCACCACGGCATTCACAGCGGGTTGGACGATGCGGACTTGGGCCACGACCACAAGCACCACCATCATCAGTCGCGATCCAGCTCTGGTAACCACTTCTCTTGACCCCTCGTGATGCGACAGAATTGCTCAATCGGACGTGTGTGCGACACTGCAGTGTGGGAGAGTATCAAGGGCTGGGACTGGAAGGTGGAGATCCCACGGGCCACGATGGCCTTTGTGGAGACGCTGATCGGACTGGTCCTCATGTTGGTCGCGATGACCTTCAACGTAGGCCTCTTCCTCGCCGTGTGCGCCGGTGCCTTCCTTGGTTCCCTCTTCTTTGGTCGATTCGCCAACTTCGCTCACATGAAACAAGGATGCCACTAAATACAGCACTCTTTCGAGCCTCCCTTCTGCGTGTGGTCGTCTCGTGTCGTCTCGTGCGCCGTGTGTCGGTATGAACAACAAAGTGTCTATTTACTACGGCGATGAAAGTAAGAGAGAAAGAGAGTGAGTGAGAGCGTTCGACGAATCTCGTCTTCTGGCTCTACTCGGAGACGCTGGGGTCGGCCCGCCTCCAGCTGAGGTTGGCCTCGAGATTGGAGTGCTGGAACTCGTCGCCCTCCAACAGGTCAGAGTCGTTGTCCATCACGAGGGGCGGGCGGCCCTTGGACTCGTGCTCGAGTACGTCGCCCTTGCGCTGCATCTTGGCCGGGTCGGGGTGGTTCTCGCCGGGCTTCTCGCTGTGGTGGGTGCCGCGGGCCTGCTGACGCTCGAGTACCTCGCCGTAGCCGCCGTCGCCGAGCCTGGCCTCACTGGGGGCGTTGGACACTGCCCTCAGGCTGCCGCTGAGCGAGACCATGGCGGGCCTCCACTGCTGGCTTCCTCGGCTGACGATGGCGCGGTACATGTTGTTTGTTGTGGGGGAGGAGGGTGTGGGTTTGGGTCGTGTTGGGTTGTGAAGTGATTTTACACTGCTCTCATTCCGCCCTACTTATGCGCTGGGAAAGGTCCTTTACCTGGTCAAGGCGAGGTGGTGGATTCTGGGGAAAGAAGGAGAAAGCTGGCTGGAACACACTCGAAACTGCACCATCCACTAAAGATCGCCGTGGCGATTCGGAGCTTGTTCACATGCTCCCAAGGTGATCCTCTGGGTCCCAACTTTAACTTGGTTGGTTGCACAACATCTTGTCCTGCTGCTAGTGAGAAATTGCGATGAAACGCCAGCACTCGGAGTTACAACAAGCGCTCCACACATTGCGATTGGTTGGCGCTAGAAATGTGCGCCTTCCACTTGCTTGTCTGGCCTCACCTCTCTCTCGGCACCCACACGCTTGATAGCTTCCTCGGACGGCGCAGCGTGCTTCTTCCACACGATCGTGTGCCTACCACGCTCCTCTTCGCCCACCGAGTAAGATACCAGCCCTCTCTCATCTGCGCTTTCGTGTCTGGTGGCCGTCGCTCGTGAGCCCAAGAGATGCAGCATTTCGCGAGTGTTGGAAGGCAGGCGTACACCAGGTAGCGACAGACTTTGTCCATGGGCGGGAAACCGATCGAGGTCAGCTTGGGGTCACGCACAAAGGAGTCCAACTCTCGGTCGGCCTTCTCCTTCATGGTCACTAGCTTCTCCGCACTCTCGACAACTTCATGTTGGGCTGAGGCAGGGTATTGGAAAGGGTGGAGGGCAGAAGGAGAAAGCGAAAACGAAAGCGAAGCACGCGCACCTTCTTGGTACAGCGACTCTCTGTCAATCGCTTTGTGCGCACCTCCTCCTTGGTTGAGCATGTGCGTGATCATGTCCAAGTGCACCGTGCCTGGCGCTTCATTGCTCGACGAAACCGACGCCATACTTGTGTCTTCTTCCTCTTGCTCCGTAGCCGGGTCTAGTAATTCGCCCTACACTGTTCCTGAAACGTATCTTCTCTGCGGGTGCCGTGGTTCGACCACCACCCACCGACAACTCACGGGGACGAGTGAATTTTCACAGGCGAGGAGGAAAGGACTGTATTGACATGTTTGAGGGAGAAGGGGACGACGAGAAGAACTGGAAACTGCGCTCACGAGACACAGGCGCGCTTCTGGTTGAAGAGGGAGACTCGCTGATTGGCCCACACGAACTGCTTGCGTCCCACGAACTCGGGGTAGACTGGAGGCACGAAGACGGCCTCCACGATGAAGGGGGCTTGGCCGGCGTCCGTCAGCCACAGGCACACGTCGTCCCTGGTCCGCTTCATGACGAAGGCCAGGGTCTGGGGTTCGAGGTCCGGCGACATGGTACCCTGCGGCGGTTGCCTTCGCTGGCACAAGGAGTCAAGCAGCCATCGGCCGCTGGTCTGGTCGAACGTGCCGCGCACGAAGATGTCGACGGTCGTGTTCGCTTGGCTTGAGGTGCTCAAGTTCTGGGCTCCGACCACTTGCCCGATGATCAACTCCGTGGGGGGGTCGGCCGTTTTGGTGATTACCTCCGAATGCAGCCCGGCCTCGCTCCAGCCCTGGTAGCCGACCTTCGTTCTGGCCGCGCCATCGACCCAGAACTCACAATTGTTGGCTGCGAAGGACCTCCGGCACCCCAGCTCAGCCTCCACGGTTCGGAGTGTTGCCGGAGAGATGGCGCCGACTGCGGTGGTAGCCAAGAGCAGCGCGAAGCAAGCGAGAAGGCTGGTATAATACTTCATGACGGGTTGAGCGAGTGGCGGCTGTGAGAGGAAGTAAGAATAGACCGGTGTGAGGCCTCAGGAACAAGAGGGCCTCTAGTCTCGCCGCCACACGGAGCCCAAGAGACTTGCACAAAGCACGTCAGCCGCTCCGCCTGAAGACCCAGCGCTTCTGTTGGCTAGCACATGCTCGATCCCTTGGCTCCGTGAGTTTACTGCACTCGAGCCTACAGAGCGCCGCTTCACTTGAGCAGCATCCACGAACTCTCTTGGGACCTTGTTTTGGGCCTTGTGATCTGATGTCGACATTCGGAATGTTTTGAAATTTTCCAAACAAATGTGGTATTCGAATAATGCAGGTTGGAGAAATGAAAAAAGAAACAAGGGGGTAACCACCAGCATCTGTCGCGGATAGGTACCTAGGGAGGTTAGCTTGATGGAAGAGGAAGGAGGGGACCGCCGACAAGATGAAAGAACGGCGATGTTGGCGCCCGCAACGGCCCCTTCCCTTTCAACGTTGGGTGGACTGCGAGATGGATCAGAAATTGATGAATGGGGACATACCCACAGCCTCGACATATTGCCTGAAGAGCTGGTGGCCTACGTTCTCCACTTCCTTGGACCTGAGGAGTTGCTCTCAAGCGCGGCCGTTTGTCGCCAGTGGCGCCGCCTGGCTGACTCCTCGCCGAAATGGCGAGATTTGGCCCTCTCTCGATGGCCTCCCTCCACCTGCGATCCTCGAAACTACGCAGGCAGCTGGAAATCCCTCTACCTCGATCGCAACAGGTACTCCTCCTGAATAAATCAATGCGAGGGACCGTTTATAGGGACTTTCGCGTGCCTAGGTGCCTGGACTTGCAGTTGACGATGTTGTTTGTTTGTGTCGGCTGCAGGTGTGGGCGCATGGGAGCGTTCAAGTGGGAGATTGGCGGCTTTCGTCGCAAGAGAGCGCGAGAGAAGATAACCTCATCGTGCTTTCACGTCGGCGGCTGTACGTGGCGCCTTGAATGCTATCCAGGCGGTGCGACTGCTCTCTCTCTCTCTCTCTTCCTCTCCTGCATGCGTACTGGCCATCAGTCGTGTGTGGAAGGCGTCGCTCGCAACACTCACACGATCCTGCACTGTTCAGGTCTCATACGCGATCAAGTCACCGATGGTGGCACGCTCTCGCTCTTTCTTCGCCACATCGATCCGGCTAAGGAGGCTGCGGTCATGGCCATAGCCGCCGAGCAGGTCGCACAGAGTGGAGGTACTTGGCTTCTCTGATTACTGGACCACTACGCTTCTGGGTTGCTCACCTACTGTGCTGCAGCGCAAGGCGATGAAGAAACAGGCCAGTCTGAGCCGGCAAACACCACCGTTCAGGACGCCTTTCCGTACCTTGATGAAGACGAAGGCGACGTCGAGTTTGAGAACGACGTTGACGATACCCATGACGGCTCCGCAAGAACTACGCGTTCTCGTAGCATCAACAAGGTCGACGGCAACTGGGCTCGGATAGTGGCCTTCAATATCTTCATTGTAAACAGCATGAACAAGCGGCTCACCATCGGCAAGCGATCGATCAACGAGTTCCGCAAGAACGAAGAGTGGGGGTATGTCATCCACAGACGAGTAGTGATTGTCAACGACTTGTACTCATACACCCTGTTTCTCTTGCTGTGTGGTGCCAGCTGGGGCGACTTTGTGGCCATGTCAAAGTTGGAGGAAGCAGGTTTTGTGATGAGCGACAAACAAGAGGAATCGGAGGACCCGATAGCGGACGGAGAAGAGAGGGCTGCGCGGGAGAGAGAACGCGAAAAGGTGGCGGCTCTGGAGGAAATCAAAGAGTCCCCGCCCGACGAGTATGGCACGCTCACGATCGAGACCTTTGTCGTCGTTTCTGATCCGTCCGAAGGTATCTTCCACTCTCTAACTTTTCTAATGTTGTGTTTTTGGATCTCACACGCGCTCACTAACGTGCTGTGGCTTCCAGGCAAGGTGACCGTCGAGGAGCTGCTGCGAACATTCATATCGGGCGTGTTCTCGAGCAATCCCACGCTTCAGGTATGGCCAAGCTACTGTGGCGGTATAAGACCAGGCAATTCTGACCCCAGTGTGCTGTGATTACTTTCTTCGTCAGGGCGTGTGCCTGGGGAAGATGGACGAACTCTTGCAGATGCATTCGTCGCCCACCTCCATCCTCGGGCCGATGAGCGACGAGAGTCACACCTATCAACGTATGTCTGCTCATTCGTCTTGACCTCAAGTTATTGAGCCCGACCTGCTAAGCTCCTCCTCGGCAACAGACGAAGCAGATGGCAAAAAGACGATGCTGGACCCGTGTCCCAATGCAAAGCTTCGGGCAATCATCAGGAAGCGAGGTTGTATCGGCAAGATACTCGCCCTCTTGCATGATTCTACACTGGACATCGAGCTCCGGGTGTCGGCTGCCGGTATCTTACAGGTACGCCTCCTGCTCAGCCGCATACCGACGGGGGCGCACAGACGGTCACAGGCCCTTTCTTGAGTACTAGTACATCGCTAACGGTTGGTGGTTCGGTTCACAGACGCTGGCGTTCAATGACTACAATGACGACAAGGCCATCATCGATGCCGGTGGGGTACCCATCTTGCTTGCCGCCCTTGCGCCCGAGGCCCACGGAGAGAACAAGCGAACACGAGTGGACCTGCAGGTGCGTTACTTGGCATTGCCCGGGTGCTGTTTCGATTACTCAGCGTGGAGCTCGATTGCGTGCCATCAGGTGTGCGCTGCGGGCACTCTGCTGAATCTTCAGCTATGTAAAGAATCTTCGCACATTGTACTCAAGGAAGGAGGTACGCACGTACTATCCAATAATGGAGTCTGCGCAAGGGCCTCATCTGTGCTCTTGATTGATTGATTGATTGATTCACCCCAGGAGTGGCCATTTGCATCGAACTACTGAGGGCACAGACCGACATCGACCTCCTCCAGGAGGTGGCAGGCGTCATCGCCAATGCGGCTGTATGCGAGGAAGACGGAGCCGTCATTGTTAGCCGGCTCGGTGGGATAGCCCCGCTGATGAAGCATCTTCAGCCCTCTGGTTCGGCTCAGCGCACCCTATCGGCTTTTCCTTCCGAGTGGACACTAACTTCAATTCACGCGCCGGCCTGCACAGAAGACCTCAACGATTCGATGGGAGAGGACCCGGCGGTAGGTCGCTACACTAACATTTATCCCCGACCAAGCGATGCTCAATCCATGGATCCCACCGTGCTGCAGCTCAACAGGTAATCATGACCCACGCAGACCGGCACCAGAAGCTCGAACCCAACACTGACGGCCGTTGTGAACAGTGCGATTGCGTTGCAGTTTGCGATCCGTAATTCGCCGTCCGAATTTGGGGCAAAAGATATGAGCGCCTACGTGCCGACGCTCAAGAAGATGTGGAAGCACGCCTCCATTGTACAGAAGTGCTGCGCTGGTACGACCATACTTCTTTCTCTCCTTTCTTTTTTGATGTCTATTGGCCAACGATGCATTCATTTCGCTGCAGGAATTATCTTGGTCGAACTGTCCTTCTTCGTGTCTCCTGGCACCAAGTTCGTGACGAAGCGGGACATCGCGTGGCTGCTCAGCTTGGTCAACTCGGACGACATCGACGAGGGTGTGCTGCTCGGCGTACTTAAGCTCATAGGTGGCCTGTGCGAGACCAACTACGGCAAGGCCAGGTACTGCCCTTGGTGTCTGCCCTCATGGGGTTTGCATTGGCTGATCGGAAGCGTGTGCGATCGAGCAGGAAATGGATTCGCGCCTTGGACGGCGTCACTGCGCTGCTCAAGCTGATTTGTGCGACCGATTCGCAGAACGCACAGTGGTTTGCTGCTCACACACTCAATGGTAAGTACCACCACGTCCTCTCGCGCCACACCTTGTGCTATCTAATGTGGATCGGGTTTCGCATTGTCCGCCACAGGTTTATCGCTATTTGACTATGCCGGAGCCAAACGCATCGCGGAATGCACGTCGGTAGAATTGCCTGAACCAGCCGCGGAGCTGTTGGTCGAGCCGGGAAGGGATCTGAAGGACAGGAAGTCCCTACCCTCGCTTGAGATCCTCCTCCGCCTCCTCAAATCCAACAACGGAGGTAAGTCAGCCCCTGTCCACCGCAAGCACGATTCCTGCTGACTCGTTGGCTGTTCCTTCTTTGGCACGCAGGTCCGCGTGTGGCTGCTTGCGACGCGCTAAGCAATCTTGTGCTTAACTATCCCAGTTGCCGTGATACGCTGCGTAGTCTTGGTATGTGAGCACTTCACCGCCTTGTGTTACGTGTACAAAGGTGGTGCTTGCTCTGACCCAGTGCATGCAGGTCTGATCGGGCTAGTGCGCGATATCATGGAGAGCTCGACGCATGCCACGTTGCAGTTCATTGCTGCGTCGACCTTGGCCTGCCTCATCGGATCCCGCTCCTCCTTCGTGCCTTCGCTGAGCAACCTCGCATCGCCCTCCTTCACCTTCCCCTCGCCCTCCTACCCCGGCTCCGGTTCCTTCACCCTGCCTTCGTTTTCGTTCTTCCTCTCTCCGTCTTCGTCATCGTCGTCTGTGAGGGACAGCGCTTCTTCGGTCTCGCCTCCTCCCTCCTCGCCCGATTCGGAATCCCTTTCGGCGCCGACCTCGCCCACGTCACGTACACGCCACCGGCGTTTTGAGGAGGAGAGCTCTCCGTCGACCGAAGAGAAGCAGCGAACGTCTACGCGCGACCGCAAGCTGGCTTCGTTCTTCTCGTCGCCTTCGTTCTTCCCCGTCGCTCGCTCCCGCTCGTCCGTTTCCATATTGGACAACAAGGACTTCATTCCTCACCTGGAGGAGCGCAGCGGCCGGGCAGCCCTAACGGCCTCGTCTCCCTGCAGCCGGCGGTTCGACGAGGAGGAGGACGGAGGCCAGGAGTACCACCGCAGTCACGATCATCACCACAACGATCAGCAGCATGGCAAGGACAAGGAGCTTCACGCGCTAGAGCAGCCGGGGCATCACCACCGCCATAATAACGGCAACAGCGAGGCCTCGACGGTGCATCGCAACACCATCGCGAACGGCGGAAGCGGCATCAAGGGCAAGGCGCCGGTTCCCGAGGAGGAGGCGACAACCGACAAGCCCCACGAGGCGAGCCGCCGGAAGTACCCTTTCCGGCGCGGCACGCTCTACGCACACGAGCTGGAGCTGATGAAGGGCAAGAAGGGGCTCCGCGGCATGCTCCACGAGCTGGTTCACACCAAGAATCGAGAGGTGCGTGGCCTCAGACCACACACACACACACACAAGGCTCACGCAACACGACACGACACGACACTACACGCACACAACACAGGTGCAGTTCCAGGCGATCAAGGGTATCGGCACGCTCGGGAGCATGGACCAGGAGTGCCTGGAGGTGATTCTCGCCGAGGACGAGGGCCGAGCCATCGCGCACCTGGGCAAGTTTCTGGAGTGCACCAACTTCATGCTGCTGCGCGTGGCCGCCTTCTCGCTCTACTGCCTGTGCTCGACCGCGAAGGCGCGCGAGGTGAGTCACCTCATCATCCGCCATCGCATCACCTCCAAGCTCAAGTCCGTCGCGGCCAATACCCGCGATGTCGCCGCCAAGGCTCTGGCCAAGAAGACCCTCAAGCTCGTCAAGAAGTACAAGTGACGGCCTTGCCGTGTATATTTATTTATTTTAGTGAAGAATAATTCCTGGCTCAGCCAGTCGAGAACTGAATCTAGATCCAACATGTGCCGACGATGCCTCGTTCATGTATGCATCTCGTTTGATTGCATGTAGGCCTTGCGTGGACTGCCGCATGATCTAATCTTTCCTTCGCTCTTGCGCACAGGTTTGCCCTCAACGGGTACCTGCCCCCCCCCAACTCTTTCTTCATCTTTTGTTCTCAACCCTCTCGCTTAGGACCGGACGTGCCTGTCCAGCGGTAGCTACCTCCTCAACTTCAAAGGGTGCGGCAGTCTGCTTTCTTCTCCATGTCGCGTACGTCAGTGTACACGCTGAGCGCTGTGGGCCGCAGGTGCGGCGAGTGTGGAAAGATGGAGTTCATCAAAATAGCGGAGCTGGAGAAGAACGAGACCGAGACGGACGAGACGGTCACCTACCAGCACCAGTGCAGCGAGTGCAGCCACAAGATCGCCGACCACGAGTACACCTTCACCATCGACGGCGAGTACCAGGAGTATGCCATGGTACGGCCGGTCACCAGCCTCATCTCTCGTTTTGAAGGCACCACCCTTCGCATACGCTCACGTTCTCCACATCCCATCGTGCTGCCCTAGAACTGTGTTCTGTGCGGGTACGGCGAGGACAGGGTGAGCATCATGCCCGACGTACGTCGACTCTGCTCGTGATCGTGGCCCCTCTCCCCAACCAACCCCACCCTAATCTCCGCTGGTCTGAGGCCTAATCTCTCGCCTCCTCGACAGGATCCAGAAAAGATTGCACAGTACGACATGTACTGAGCCGGGCCACCGCAGGAGAGTACACGAGTCAGAGAGTGCAGTGTAACCGTTGCCTTCTATCTCCAAGGAGAAGCTCGAGTTGGACCGAAAGCTTTGCCTTCCTGCACTTCCACCAAACAATAAAAACAAACAAATAACCAACACAGCTTGCGCCATGGAGGCCCCCGAGGGCACGGTTGAGGTGTTGTACCCCCGCAGTGAAGCCGAAGCGAAAGCGAAAGCGAAAGCCAAGGCTGACGCTGAAGCTGAAGCCGAGCAAGAGGAGAAATACCCTCCTAGGAGGAGGAGGAAGGCCGGCAGTACTGCTCCTGCTACCAACTGGCGGGGTGTGGTGGACTACCAGCGCAACCCAGCCCCCTCCCTCGAGGCAGGTGTGGAGCCCGTCCCTCCAGACGTGGCGGCCAAGGTCAAGGGGAACAACTTCTGGTTCAACGTCCGCGCGCTGGCCGGGTGCAAGAGCAGCGACCTGCGGCGGATCGCCAACGAGTACGCTGTCGGCTCCCCTGAACAACAAGCGGCGGACACAGACAATCCCTGTCGAGGCAACGCACTGAGCATTGTCCTGTTGGGCTGCGAGAGCTACGACCGGTTGGTCATACTCAACGGCATCATAGCCGCTGCCCTCGACCGTCAGCGGGGTACTCCCCCATTCTATGCTTGTGCCACCATCATCTCACCGCGCCTGTCAACCAACACCATGCAGGGGACATTCCCGACTTGCAGCCACACCGGTTCTCGGCGCACACGAAGGGCTACACCCTCAGGCTGGAGAACGCCAAGCTACGATTCACCGACGTGCGGTGGCTCACCCTCGACGAGAGCCTAACGAACGAGATGGTGAGGTTGGCCCAGCGCGGAGCGACCAACGAGGAGCCGGCTGTGCCCTTGGTCAGTCCCGCGCGGGCGGTCCTGAATGACATGCGGGTCGATGTGGCGCTGATCGTCCTGCGCAACACCACCAGTGAAGAGGGGCTACGGCACTACATCGACATGGCCCAGTCGCTCGATGATGTGCCATACGTGTTCGTGGTGGCTCAAGCATTCCCCCTGCGAGAGTTTGACGAGCGTGGTTGGAGACGGAAGCTCGACAACACCTCGGCGCCCATCGTTCCCCTCCAGTTCTACGACAATCCGACGGCCGGCGAGTTGATGAACAGTCGCTACCTCCACCTTCTCCTCCTCACCATCTCCCAGGCCGAGATCCGAGGTTGCTAGCTCATCTCCTCTCTCGCATTGCGATGTGAGCTGCTCACCGGCGTCCGTGCGTCTGCAGCCCACTTGAAAGGCAAGGAATCGCAGGGTCTCCAAGCTGTGGAGGCTGCAGCCAGAGAAGCAGTGCCGGATGCGTCAGAGCCGACTGTTGTCACCCCACGCGGCTCGAGCCCGGGCATAACGGCGCTCCTTTCCTTCCTCTTGGGCGTGCTGAGCACCCTCTTCGTTGTCTTGCTCGTCCGCATCCTCTCATGAAGAAGAAGCACCAGCTCCCAGGTCCCTTATGACAAGAAAGCACAAAACAAAAAGAACGGAAGAAGGGTTCATTTGGCTTAGTTGTAGCGGATGCCAGAGAGCGGCTGGGTCTCCTCCACCTCGACGTCGCCGCCCGCAGGGGGGTCGCACATGCCACCCTGGGCGCAGATGGCCTGGGCCGACATCCCGCTCAGAAGGTCCTTGATAACGATAGGCAGATAGGTCTGGAAGGCATAGTCGCAGTCTCTCTTGATTTCGGGCGTGGCGGCGGCGCACAGGGTCTCGGCAATGCCAATGATTTGCGTTTGGTTGTAGTTGAGCTGCACAAAGCCGTCGACGAACTTGACCCCGAACTCGCAGAAAGAGCACACGATGGGGTTGACGGCCGATGCCGAGGAGGAGAAGGCCAGCACGACGGCCACGCTAATCAGGAGCCACGAGAGGATCTTCATCTTGTTGTTTGTTGTTAACACTTGTCAAACAAAAACAAACCAAAACAAGCATTTCAGTTCTAGACCCCTCTTTGGCGACCTTTTATGGTAGTGAGCGCATGGGGCAGACCTATTGCCACCAGAAACTGATGGAGAAGCTTCGCGACAATGACCGGACATAGTGCCAGTGGCCTGCACACAAGCTCGGTGTGGTTAGTTAGCACACTGGCTCCATCAACGTGCGCACACGGCCACCAACAGACAGTACCCTTGGGAATGTACAGCATTTGGCCGGCACCGAGCACGCACTCGAGGTAGGGCGCGTCGGCAAAGCGTGGGTAGTAGTCCAGGTTGGGATTCTCTGCATCGACCTGCTCATGCGAGAGACGACACGATCAGCGGCGCGCGTCGGGAATGGTAGAAAGTTGACGACGATGGTGGGTATTGCGTTCAACCTGAGACGAGTTCTTTCTGGTGAAGTCGGCAAAGGGGTAGAGGCACGCTTGATGGCGCGGGTGGTAGATGCGAATGTACTTGCTACCCACCACTTGCGCCAGACAGTTGTGGTACGGGTCCTTGTGCAACGGGCTCACCGTTCCCTGCAACCACCAACACAGGCCATGGGTGTGAGCTCAACACAATGTTTGCCTTCGTCAAGTGTCACTCGAATCCTACCTGAGGTCCGAGCCAAGCGTGAGTGCCGTAGTAGTCGCCTCTGTATGGGGAGGGCATGAAGTTGAGTGATCAGTGGATGATGATGATGATGGTGGTGGTGGTGGTGATGAGCAGGAGCACCGGCCCAGACGACAGAAGGCGGGAATCTCAAAGTCCTGTTGAAGAGAGGGGATGGCATCGAACAGTCGGAACTGGGCCAAGTAGCCCACGGCCGCGCCCTGACTGCGCCCGCCGGTCGATGCTGTGTCTGTGCCTCGCTCAGCCTTCTCTGTCCCCCACACGCACAAGAAGTTAAGACTTAAGCATCGGCTGTTGGGTGGGTTGCATGCGCAGTATCGGTACCGAGGTTGTCGAGGTACGAGGTGAAGGAGACGTGACGATGCTCCATTTCGGGATCCAAATAGGTTGATCCCTGCTCAATGGGCACCACCACCTCGTCCGAGGGTTCAGCGGCATCTGTTGTGGCTCTCCGTCGCAAGTGGTCGAGATCGGCCCATAATCGCAGGGCGGGCCAGTGATCGATTGCCTGCGTGAGCACGACTGGCTGTTCTGCCTTCATGTAATCCATCTCAAATCGTTCCAGCTCTACATTTTCTACCCTCGGAACTTGTGCAGATTGCCCATTTTCTGCTTGGGCAAGTGAGGAGAAGGGTCGTGCCGTATGGGCAGCCACAAGCGAGGACCGCCCCACGCAACTCGCAAGCCTCCTCGCCACTTTACTCATCTATCTCTAGAGTTCGAAATTTGAACAAAGGGCGCCCGTTTGGATTTGAAACACAAAAGAACACAACTACTCGGAGGGCAGAGTGGCGATGAAGCTCTGCAGCACCTGGAGGGAAGGGGATGAAGGGAACTTGTCGAAGAAGCTCACACCTGCCTCTCCGCACGTCGTCAAGTTTGGATCGAGCGGTACTCGGCCGATGAACGGAACCTGCCGGTGGCTCGTTAGCGCAGTGCGCAGGCCACACAGATACTAAAGATCAAGGCGACAAGCGCGTACCCCCATGTCTTTGGCCATGGCCTCGCCGCCACCGGTGGAGAAGATGTTTGTCACCTCCTAAAGCACGATAGAAGGTTAGAAGTGAGGTCGGGAAGGCGAGAGAGGCAACCCATAAGAATGATGAGAAAGTAGAACCTGGCAGCACGGACAGACGAAGCCGCTCATGTTCTCCACAACGCCCAGCACAGGCAGTCCGATCTTCTTGCAGAAGCTGATTTCCTTTCGCACGTCCGACAACGACACGCCCTGGTGAAGAGAGTGCGTAAGGAAGTGAGTTTGCAGAACTGCATCTGGCTACGAGCTCTAGTCGTACCTGCGGTGTGGTTACAATCACCGCGCCGTCCGGATTGAACGAGCCCAGGTACTGTGTCACTGAGATGTGCTCGTCGGATGTGCCTGCGAGAAGACGAACGTGGATGTAAGTACAACGCGGGTGCGCCAGATAGATGATTGTGGGGGCGTACCTGGCGGCGTGTCGATCACCAGATAGTCGAGATCGCCCCAGCACACGTCCTCCAGGAACTGCTTGATGACAGCTGCACCACACCAAGCGTGAGCATTGGCTTGGCTGTGGCGGCGGCAGCAGCCAGCCTTAAGGGAACTGAACAAAGAGTACCGTTCTTCTTGGGACCTCGCCACACCACAGGCACGTCTGGACTGTCCAGCAGAAAGCCGATGGACATCACGCTGAGGCGCTGCTCCTTGTCTGCAAACACAGGAACCCACCTACTCATTCCGCGTGTGCCGCAAGCATCAGTATCCCGGCCAACACTGTCCCGTGGCCCAGACACTTGGTTAGTGCAGGCGCGTACCCTTCCGACGCCTGGTGCACGGACTTGTCCTTGAGAGCGAGCAATGTGGGCACGCTGGGGCCACACAGGTCGATGTCCAACAGGCCCACCTGCCACCCGCCGACGCAGCAGCTGTTCGTGAGCTAAAGTGTGCACTGAGTAAGTCATGTGGCCAGGTAGCGAACTCACCTTCTTCCCGGCCTTGACAAGAGCGAGGGCCAACTGCGTCGAGACCGTGCTCTTGCCCACGCCACCCTTCCCGGAGAGTACCAAAATCTTATGCTTGATGCGCCCCATTCGCTCCACCATCTCTGCAGAGATGGAAAGTGCGTCAGAACTTAGTTGTACATCTCCTCGGCAAAGTAGGGAGGAGTACTCGCGGAGGGCTCCTGCATGGCTTGGCCGAGTGTTGTGGAATAGCTCGATCTGGAGTGACGGCTGTGCAGGAAACTTTTCGCTCGGCGAGAAACGCAAAGAGAAACGCCGACTGCAAATCGCCGCAGATTGAAGTGGAGGAAAGAGATGAGCAAGGGACAACAAAAGAGTTTTGTGGTGGCCGGCGATGCCTACGCCAAGATTGTTATGCACATTAACAAATACCCGTATCTTGCGGTAAATGGAGTGCTGCTGGGGTCAAAATCTAATGGCGACGCCGCGATTCGAATCGTGGATTACATTCCCTTCTTTCATGGAGCCACTCTAGCCCCCATGCTTGAGGCTGCCATGATGCTCGTACGTGCCATTCTGCCACTCCTACTGCACCCCATTGATAGTCTGTGGTTGCTCAATCCGATTTCATCCACAGGTTGAAGAGCGCGCCACCGAGCAGCAGCTGAGCATCGGTAACCACCACCTTTCCCTTTCCTCCTCTTGCCTGTTTGATCTGTGCGCTCTGCGGTGGCTCTCCTGCTCACGCCTGAGTCACCAGTGGGGTACTTCCATGCCAATGAGCTCGCTGACGACACCGAGCTGAGCCCGCTGGCAATCAGCATCGGCTCCAAGATCAGCAAGCAGTTCGCGGGCGCTTGCGTCCTTTTGGTGAGCCCTCAGCCATCGCCCAACCGGTGCTCATGTTGTCATCATGAAGTCTGATCGTCCCTTTCCAAAACAATAGTACGACGGAACCCTGGCAAAGGAGAGCAAGCACACACTGGCTGTCAGGGTAAGCACAACGATGATCATGCCCCGGAAGCGCACGCTGCACGCTGCAGTTGGCACATTGCCTCTTGCACGCCGCTCATAATCGCGCGGTGTTATGATGCTGTACAGGGGTACCTCCGAGAGGGCGAGGGGTGGCACGACAAGAGCAAGAACTTCAGCCTCGATGAGGCATACGACACGGCCCAGCTTGCGTCCCTGGCCAAGGATTGTCAGCGGTGCGCACTTCTTCTTTCCTCTCAAAAGTGGTGCTGGCCTCACTGTGAAAGCTTTTGCTTCTTCCTTTGGCGTGCCACCCCACAGGCTTCAAGATTTTGATAACCACCTGGAGGATGCTTCGAACGACTTCTTCAACCTCCGACTCTTTGAGCAGCCGGAGCCCAAGAAAAGGAAGTGAGCGAATGCGACGTGGTGCTCGTGCAGGCAGGCAACAACAACGAAAAATGAAAACCGGTGTTCACGCCAGCTCTTCTTCTGGTGTGCTGTATGTGGACGAGTCCAGCGCGCTGCGTTCCTTTCGTCCTCCGGTCCCTTGAGCGAGCTCCTCTCGCATACTCGCTCGGCCTTCATTTCCGTAGTCCTCGTACGCTTCCCACACCAGCCCTCTACCCTCGCTGTGGCTCTCGTCTCCTGTTAGTGGCGATGATGCTGCCGCTGTGGTGGAGAGAGGCGCCGATTTCCAGGGGAGCTTGAGGTTGTGCGCGGCCGGCCCGGCGTACATCGATGCCACTTCCAAGCATGCCACCATGAAGAGCGGACGCGCCAAGTCCCCTGCGGTTGCCGATAATGACGATAAGCGCGCAGCTGACACAGCCGAGAAAGGAGCCGGCACGCACCCGCCACAGCGAACGGGTCCACGTAGTGCGTGTGCGCGTTCTCCGCTCCTACCATCCGCGTCACTCGGAAGATCGACTGTGCCTTACCCACCAGCCCCACTCCAAAGCCCAGGATGTAGCCCAGCCCTGGAGGGGTGGTCGCCCCCGTGTCAGCGCCCTCACGTCAGAGGCTTGCAAAAAGAAACTGTCTCCGCACCGGTGTGGAGGGCGAGGGTGCGTATGGCATGTTCGGTGGTGGGGTACTCCTTCTTTTTATGCTCTGTTGTGGTTGTAAGTGGCGCGGCAGGGTCCTCCTGCCGAGGTGCAGCCGCTTGCTTTTGACGGTAGGAGATCTCCTCATCTGTGCCCTCGTCCTCTGCACTTGCATCGAACCGGCCATCGTTGCCGTACTTCTCTGCGCCTTCCTCCTGGGCTTCGAGGTCGATGCTTTCGTCCTCCCGCCGCCACTGCGGCACTGCATCTGTGGTCTTGTGCATGCGTCCTATTATTCCTATTTTTTCCCTCAGGCTTTTCTTGAACACGGGAGAGGGAAATAGAAATGGCAGAGAAAAGGAGCAAGACCGATTTGTCAAATACATCGAGAGCGCAGGAAGGATGCCGAAGTACTACTGCGACTATTGCGACGTGTTCCTCACGCACGACTCGCCATCAGTGCGAAAGTCGCATAACGATGGATGGAAGCACAAGGCCGCCGTGCGTGCCTACTACGCGCAATTCGAGCAGGATCTTACGCAGAGCCTCATCCAGCAGAAGATCAAGGAATACCAAGAGGGCAAAAGTACACTCCCCCCCGCCCGCCCTCAGCGTTCGCCTATGCTAATTCGATCCTTGTTTTTTCAGCTGGATTTGGCCCTGGCCACATGCCCTCGGGTCCGCTTGTGATCAATCCGCACGCTCCCCCTCCCGGCATGGGCGGTCCCGGCATGATGCGACCCCCTATGATGGGCGGTCCTGGCATGCTTCCCCCTCCCGGCATGATGCCGCCCGGTATGCCTCCGCACGGCTTCCCCGGCTTTCCTGGTCACTTCCCCGGTGCTCCCGGCGGCCCGCCTCCCGGCATGGGCGCTCCTGGTGGCGAGGGAGCCGACAGCGGCCACAAGCGATCGCACGACGAGAGCCAGGCGACGGACCACCAGCGCATGGGCTTCCCACCCGGACCGCACCACGGAGGACCTCCGGGCGGCTTCCCGGGGCACATGGGCGGTATGCCGCCCGGCGGGTTCCCTGGCGGCCCGCCTCCTGGCTACCCCCCCGTACGGTGGTGGCCCTGGACCCGCGGGTGGGCAGCAGCACGACGACCCGACCAAGCGCAGGCGGCTAGACGACGACGAGGACGATGGCTATGAGCAGTAGAATGTACACGATGATCAACAAGGGCAGGCACGACAAGAGGAGCAGCGCTACGAGCACCAACCAACCAGCAGAGCTCAAAGAAGCTCTGCACCATATCCTGTTTTACCTTCCCCTCCCTCTTCCTCTTTCTTCTCCTCTCTCTCTCTGTGTTATGGCGTTGGTGTGGTGCACTCGCTCCCTTTGCCCAGGCAGGACGTTGGTTGGTGGGCGTGTGCTGATTTGTACAGCCCAGCTCCCAATAAACGTACCTTGCTCCTCCTTCTTGGTGCCTCTCTTTGCATCCTTTGTGATCAACAGTGGGCACGGAAGAGTGAGCGGTGAACGCGGTACCACGGCCGAAGGTTTCAGCACTGCCCCAGCCAACGAACAGGTCCTCGCTTCTGTCTGTGTGCAACTGGCGCACAGGGTTGGTCGGCAAGAAAACGCGTGGCGTGTTTCGTGGGTTGCATTGCGAAACAGCTGATCCATCTTTTCGTTTTTGATGGCCTGAGGAGGAAACGATTGAAGGCCGACGACGATTGAATGGGAAAGGGAGGGCAGATTGGCGTCAAGTGAATACCGACGTTAGAAAATGACAACGATTCAACGCATCATGAGCGAATTCATGCCGACTGGTGCCGACGATCACTCGCGCCTGGTGGCCCTCATGACGGGAATCTTGGTCCTCACGGCAGGCATGGGGGGAGCCTTAATCTTCATTGGCATGATTTGCATCAAGAAAAAGGTGAAGAAGTATGCTCGGCGTCGCCTGCTTCGACGCGACAGCGCTAGCCGCCTGTCCTTCTCCACCCCCTCTCCATCGATCGAAGAATTGGGCGATGAGATGTGGACCCCTCTTCCCGAGGACGCGCTCAAGCGGCGTCGTGTCGATGTCATTCTTCAGCCCGTGCACACCGAGCACGACGAAACCACGTCGAACGGCACGAATGGCTTCGTGCCAACCCCTGAAGACGAAGATGGCGATGTAGGCGAAGAGCTGCACGCCGAAGACGACGCGAATGCGACGCTGGATGAGGAAGAGCACGAAGGAGGAGGCGACGAGGACGAGGACAGGTCGGCCTACCGTCTGTGCTACAACGACCTCGACATGTATCGGTCGGACGAGGACCAGACCGCCGACGAGGGCTCAGGCTACCTGGACGAAGAGGAGGGCTACATGCACGAGCTCGAGCAGTGGAGCGAGGACTTCCTCCTCTCCGAGATGGGCGGCTCCTCTTCCACCTCCGACCTGCACCGCCTCACGCAGCCCCTTCCCCCTGGTGCGCGCCTTGTCTTTTTATTTGTTTATTTGTTTATTCATTTTGTTTTATTAATAATCGCTTGGTCACATGGTGAGCAGGTGCGCCGACGAACGACACATTGGAGGAGGGAGGAGCTCCACGCGTGGAGACTCAGTATCGGTTCGGCGAGCCAGCGGGAGGACCCTCGCAGGAGGACGAGGGCATGGTGTTGACAGACTGGTATGATCAGATATCCTAGCTTTTGCGGCCTGATGTTTTTGCCTTGTGTTGACTGTCCCCGTCGGTGTCATGCGTTTTGCTTTCCTTCATCATATGATGAAGGAACGAGCGTTTCAGACGACGGTGGAGAAGCTGCGCGGGTTCGACCTGCACACGCCGCTGGACGAGCGGTACAACACCAACAGGGCGCTCATCCATTTGGCGCAGGACTTCATTTACTCCTCCTGCAGTTATGGGCGAATCATCATCTCTGAGGGTAGGTTCCCTTGCCGTCACTGCTTATGATCAGCAGCTAATCATAGGCGGCGTTTTCCTTCACTCTCATCTTAGCATTCGTGCCTGATCACATGAAGACCATCAAACCGACAGCCATGGGCGGCATTGTGGGCGGTGACAAGTACATTGTCAACAACATCTTGTTCAAGTTCGCTGTCGGTACGTACATAAAGGCGCACTTGTGGACAAGTGGGGTTGACTCACTTGCACTGTGTTGCCCAATAGATTCGCACGGGCTCTACGGGTCGGACTACGCTGCATCGAAAGTAGCAGGACACGAGCTGAAGGGACTGCTCGCCTACTTCAACCTGGGCATCCGCGACCTTTGTCTGCCACTCATGGTGCGCGACTCCAGCAAACTAATGCCACACCATCGACACGTCTGACGACGCTCGTTATGGCGACAGGCGCTTATCGACTACCGAGGGTTCCGTTTGCTGGCCATGTCCATCCTGCCGATCAAAAAGTCGACCATCGTGTACGGTTCCAATGACTACGGCCATACCATGCACGCTGAGAACAAGAAGCTGGGCGCCAAGATGCGCATCGCTGCGAGAAAGCTCAACATCAAGCCCCATCGCTGCGGCGTCTCCAAGGCCCACAGTCAAGTTCTCCCCTCGCCTGCCGACCTCGAGGGCCACGTGGGTGGCGACAACCGCACGTATTTACTGGTTCGTTGGCTGGTGGTGCTTTCTTCGGTGTACTTTCTTCGGTCAAGGCTCAGACTTTGTGTCCCCGCAGGACTTTTCTCGCGTGATGCCGCCCGAGTTCCCCAAGCCTGGGTACCTTTTGCCCTTGGACTTCTTCGTGCTTTGCCGCTAACCTGAAGGTGGTGGGGCGGGCTATGAACAGTATCAAAATGGCACACCTCTTCCGGTTGCTGCGCCCGGAGTATGTGCGAACGTTCCCCAAGCCACTGTGCAGTGACGCATTCAGGTACGTTTACGCGGGTCTTCAATTGCCGCGCTCGTCTTGGACATGGTTAACCTTGATCGCCCTGTAATTCAGTGGGTTCATCCGCATGCACAATCCGGAACAGCACAACGCCGAGTTGGAAGAGGCAACCAGGAATCTGATCACCAACGTTGTGCCAAATTTTGCACCCGAGTTGGCCAAGCTAATCGCTGAGGTGAGCCACTGCATACCACGTTCACCGTCCTTGATGTTGGATAGCCAGATCTAACTTCAATGGTTATCGATTGCCTTAGGCAAAGAGAAAGGGCGACTTGGAGAATTTTAGGCTCACTGAGGCTGTACATAGTCGAGGCATCAACATTCGACACCTCGGCATTCTCAGGTACACCGCCGTGCGCTCCATCGTGGCTTCACGCTTCTGCCTCCGCCTCCGTTTCTTCTCTTGCGCTAATAAGCTGATCTCGTTGGTGTAGGAGCCATATGGTGGACCAAGACGGCCGCACGCTGCTGTTTGTAGAGATGTGCGCTCGCGTTGTAAAGAACAACCTCCGGCTTCGCCTGAGGGAGAGAATGAGGTACATACGATGCCCGCTCCTCCCTTGTCGCTCTGCGTTGGTGCAGGCGTGGGCACCTGGCCTCACCCAGTCTTGCGTTTTTGTGCCACAAAAACACTCAGGAAACTGAAGCTGCCGTTGGAGGAGCCCTACCATCGGTTGGTGATCGATTACATGAATCTCGTTATCGGCCACAACGATCAATCCGAGGAGTACTGGGCCAAGAATCTGAAGACCTCCCTCGTAAGGTACGATGCGACACCACACCATACCTGCTGCGTCTCTAGCGAGCTAACGTACGTTCTCTCGCCGACACAGAAAATTCGAGGGAGCGCTCAATGCGGAAGAGGCGGAGGACGATTACGCGCTCAAGTGCGTGCTCGACTACTTCTCCGACAACTCGATGGATGGGAAGCTGTTGCTGTTCAACAGAATCCAGAAGATCTGCGGACTCAAGTTCACCCATCGAGTCAACGAAGAGTTCTCCAAGCACAAGAACTGCTGGGTCGCCCGAGGAGAGCAGCCCTTGGTATTCACTGCACACCCATCTCACACAAGCCACACGTATTGGCGCCGAGCTAACTCTCAATCTAATCGCCAGGACGATACGGATTTGGAGGAGATCGGGCTACGCGTGAAGCACATGAACATCATCTCCTACGCCCAGGGCCACTGTCTGCACCTTAAAGGTAACATGGCGTGGAACAACAATCCTATCAACGCCCAGCGGTTCTTCAACATGGCCATGGAGAAATACGAAGGTCAGAAATCCTACACGCGCGCGCTCCCCCCGCATCCCCTCCTTTCTTTCGCCGAGCGCGTATGCTTATGGCAACGGTCTGTTTTCCCTTCTATTCGCACAACAACAGAGGCGCTAAGCAGCGCGCCTTGGTCGAGCGACATATTGGTCAACTGCGCCGAGATTGCCACCAAGTTCTTGGAGGGCGAAGAGAAGAACTTGGCCAACTTGAATTTTTCCATCAACCACCCCAAGGGTACAGCTCGCCCGTTTGCACCCGCCCGCTTGCCACGACTAATCTGGTGTTGGATGTTCGTCGTCCTGCAGCGCAAGAGGCAAACAACTATTTTTTGCGGGCGATACAGAGCAACACCCACGACAGCTACGCCATCTTCCAGTACGCCCAGTTCCTGGATCGCTGCGGCCTCATCAAGAAGGCCGAAGAGTTTTATCTCCGATCGCTCGAGGTGCGTACACACTGCATTCGATGCTCCCCCCCTCCAATTGACCGGTAAGTCGCTAATAGCACGACTTGCTTCCATGCGCGCAGATCAATCCCAACAACGCGGCGTGCTTGCAGGAGTACGGTAACTTCCTGGCCCTTCGTAAGAAGGACGAGAGCGGAGCCGAAAAGTTCTTCCTTCGCTCTTCGCAGTGTACACAGCAGCGCATTGCACCGAGCCTCTCAAGGTGCGCCGTCCTGCGACACGCGCGCACACGCACGACATTCTTTGCTGACGTGGGTTGAACGGCAGATATGGCTCGAGGAGAGACTTCCAAGACCTGAGCCAGCTGTCGGTGTCGGACTTCAGACAGCGAGCCCGAAACGAAATCAACCTTTCCTCTTCGCCCACGCTCAAGCTCACGTCGGACGAGATCAAGAAGGACCAGCGTTCGCCCACGCCCGACGGCACCCGGCGGCACCAACGCACGCGTTCGCTGGTCAGTCGAACGCTGATCGGCGCCAGCGAGGGACCCGACGAGATGGAGAACATGATGGACGGCAACCACAGCCCGCAGCAGAGCGCCAGCAGCGTGAGCACCCGGGTCACCCTGCATCAGCAAGTCGTCTCCGCCGCCGCAGCCGCCGTGGTGGCCACCACCACGCCCACCGCCAAGGTGCGCACTGCCGAGACAGCCAAGGCCAAGGAGGAGCTCCTCCACGCGTGATCGGTTTCGCGTTACGGCCTCACGGTGCCCCAAGGCGCGAGAGGAGACCCGAATGGATGTACCGAAGCCGTTAGGTTCACGAAAAAGCGCAATCTCTGAGGAGCTCCTTGTGGCCCCACTTGCCAACGGCACGAAGACGAGGAAAGCACAGCTGCCCATTGGTAGCCGAGGGATGTCGCCAAGGACACGTGGCCAATTCGCAGGCGGGGATAAAACATGCGCAGTAACGCGAATGCACTGCCGCAGCAAAGAAGGGAGCGAAGTGAAGAACTACCACACACGATGAAGACGACAGGACAAGCCAAGGGGGCGCACCTGAGCCACTCTGCACCGGCCTCGACCAGGGCGGCCAGGAGAATGACGCTCATGACCCCTACGACGACCACCACTTCCCAAGCGAGCGGAGACACGATGACGACGACCTCCCCGGCCTTCTTCGCCAACACCAAGGCCCTGCTGAGCCGACGGCTCGGCGCCAGGCGGCCGGTTTCGACCTCCTTCGATCATTCGCCCTCGCCACCACTCCCCTCCTGCCCCGCGCCGCCCCTGTGGCTGCCCCTCGTCGACTTCCTCTGCCACCTAGTCGAGCTCCACGGTAACTAACTCTTTCAACTCTTTCACATCATCTTTCAAGTTGTTTCGAAGCTTGTTCTGGAACACAACCCAAGCCTGGCTGATCTTCGGTGACACACCAGGTGTGGGAAAGATGGGGGTCTTCCGTACGAGCGCGGGCGCGAACACGGTGCGGCAGCTGCTGAAGGCCTGCGAGTGCCTGTACAGGAAGCGTGCGGGGAGGGAGGAGATGGAGCTCCTGTTCGCGCCGTACGCGCGGGAGGTGGACGTCGTGGCGAGCGTGCTCAAGGCCTACCTCCGCGAGCAGAGCCGGCCATTCCTCCCCGTCTCCCTCCATGACTCCTTCCTGGCCGCTTCGGGTACCTCGCACACGCGAACGAGACTGAATGCGAGCACGGCGCAGAACACTCACACGACACTCGACACACGACACACGACACACACGGACGCAGAGATCAGCGACATTGATAAGCGTTTGCACCAGCTCAGAGCCGTTATCTCTGAGCTCAGCCGATACAGAAGGTGCGTGCCCAGCCGCACATAATTCCCCTGATGCTCCAGAGAGCCGCCTGTGCTGATGTGCGTAAGGGGTTGCTGCATGGCCAGGCGCATCTTCCACCGATTCATTCGCTCACTCCACCGGGTGCAAGAGAACCAGGAGGAGAACAAGATGGACGCCTCCAATCTCGCCATCGGTACGCCTTCGCCCACCCACCTTCGCACCTTCGCACCTTCGCTTCGTCGTGCGAGGCCCTCTTTCGCGACTAATGCCACGAGCGCCGCCCACAGTGTTTGCTCCGTCTCTCCTGCGAGGCGAGGACGACGGCCTGGACATCCTCAAGATCCGGGCGCAGTGCCATGTGATCGAGAACTGCATCCTCTACCACGCGGTCGTGTTTCAGGAAGAAGTCGAAGAGGACAGCGACGAAGGTGATGATGATGAAGAAGAGGTGGTGGAGGGTGTCGATGTACGTTTGCTCGCTGCTGCCGCCTCCTCGGTAGATCACCTCAACACCGACGGGCCAACGATGCTCGGTTCTCACGACTTTAAGAAGGCGGCCTTCAATCCGTTCCACCTGGTGGCCTGCCAGCACTGCCACAAGGCCATCCTCGGCATAGGCCAGGCCTATCAATGCCAGGGTACGTCCACCAAACCCCCATCAGTGGGCGTCGCGTCTGGCTTCCGGCTCTCACCTCGCGACCCGACCTTCACACGACTGGTGACCCACAGGGTGCGACTTCGCAGTGCACAGAAAGTGTAAAGAACACGCGGGCCAGACCTGCACGGCCGGCGCGAGGCACCGACATGCATGCCCTGCCCGTCGCCCACCGGCAGCGCGCAAGTCAGCTGAGTGAGATAACGTTCACGACAAACGTTTAGTGATGTATGCTGTGAATTAAGCGGGTAACTACCCACGTATGGGGTGTGAGACGGGTACGCTTGGTGACCTGCAGCCGGCGCTCTAGGCTACAGCCGGCCAATGACGCGCAACGCCGATAAGATGACCGTGGAATCTAACAGTTTATATTTCAACTAGCAAGTTTGTTTTCAATCCACAAAAGATGAGAAGAAGCGGGGGCAGCAAAGTGGGCATGACTCCCACACTCTCCGTGACGGCAGCTGCGTCCCCCTCTTCATCTGCTTCTTCTTCCGCTTCTCCGTCGCCCTTTGCTTCGCCGCCCTCACCCACCTCGCCCCGCTCGTCTTCTTCATCGTCGTTGTTGGGGGCTTCGTTGTCGTCGTCCCCCTCCGGCGAGGAGTCGCTGCACTTCTTCCGCCAGCTGGTCAGCCGCACCCGGTCGGCCAAGGGCAAGACCTGGACCCTCGCCGACCTGGTCGAGTCCCGCACGCCCCCTGACGGGTCGCCCTCCGGCGGTGGTGGTGGCAGCCAGAAGAAGGCCAAGCCCCGCAGCACGTCCCTGGTGCGCCTTCTGAGCGGGAGCCGCGCGTCGGAGACGAGCAGCAGCACGGCCACTTCGCCTTCGCACTCGCCTTCGCCGACGTTCAAGGCCCAGGCCGCGGCGGCGAAGGAATCCTTCGCGCCTCCGCTCTGGCTGCCGCTGGTGGACTACCTGTGCCGCTTCATAGAGCTCCATGGTATCTCCCCCTCCCCTACGCTCTTCGTTTTCGTTTTCGTTCTTCACTGGTGAAGTGGTCGGAGCTAAACAGTGTGGTCGGCAGGAAGGGACAAGCTCGGCATCTTCCGGCTGAGCGGCAACGCGCGGACCGTGGGCGAGTTGACGACGGCTTGCGGGGACCTGATCGCGAAGAAGGCGGGCGAAGAGGACATGCAGAAGCTGTTCGAGCCCTACGCCGACGGGGAGGTGCACGTGGTGGCGAGCGTGCTCAAGGCCTACCTCCGCGAGCAGAAGGAGCCCCTTCTGCCCGCCTCCTTCTACGACTCATTCATCAGCGCCGCAGGTAAACCCGCCGGTCTGCTCATTGCGTGTTGCGTGTGCTCACACTCACTCACGCTCGCGCGGGTGCAGAGACCACGGATGCCGGTGAGCGACTGGCGCAGCTGAAGGACCTGATCTCCAAGCTGCCGGAGGGCCGAAGGAACATCCTTCATCGGCTGGTGCAGTCGTTGGTGCTGATCGCCGAGAATAGCGAGGAGAACAAGATGGACGCCTCCAACCTGGCCATCGTGTTCGGGCCGTCGCTGCTCAAGGCCGAGAGCGACGGGCTCGACATTCTGTTCAAGATCCGTGCGCAGTGCCTTGTCGTCGAGAACTGCATCCTGCACCACGCCACCATCTTTCTGGTACGCACACGCACCACCGCACACGCACACGCCCTTCTCACGTGCATGGCGTCACCAGGGTCATGAGGTGCGGCAGCAGGACATCGAGAACGATCGGAAGTCGCCACGAAGCAACGGTGCGAGCGACGACGATGACGACGACGACCTCTCGCTCGACAAGCTGGCCAAGGAGATGGAGGAGGCGGAGAAGGAGAGCCGCGACTTTGACACGGCCATCGAGGAGTTCCCGCAGGAGGCCGAGGAGCCCACCATGCAGAGCCACGCCTTCAAGAAGGAGGCCTTCAACCCGTTCTCGCCCACCATGTGCCGACACTGCCGCAAGTACATCTTTGGCATCCGCAAGTCCTACTTGTGCAAGAGTACGCCGCACCACACCACGACGTGATTGCTGTGGTTCGGCTTCAAGCGTTGACTGTTGGCCGGCGTGGGCGCACACGAACAGACTGCAACTTTCCGACGCACGGGAAATGCAGGAAGAGCGTGGGGAAGACTTGCCCGGGCTCGTGTGAGAAGACGACCAAGCAGAAGAAGCCGGAGCCCATCAACGTGGGCCAAAAGGTCCCGCTCTTCACCCTCAAGGACGGCAAGGGCAAGACCTACTCGATCGAGGATAGCCTCCGCTTGAACAAGAGGATCGTTCTCTTCTTCTACCCCAAGGGTGAGTCCTCTCTCTCTCTCTCTCCACACACACACACACACACAACACGCACACCAGCGTGTTGAAGCTGACCCTTCATGTGCATGGGCTCGCGGTCTAGACTTCACGCCGGGGTGCACACGGGAGAACAAGGCCTTCCGCGACCAGTTCTCGCTGTTCCACTACGCCGACTGCGAGATTGTCGGTATCAGCGGCGATTCCTCGGCGTGCCACTCGCGCTTCGCTGCCAAGTACAACATTCCCTTCCGACTACTGAGGTACGCGTCTCCGCCTGCACCGCCCTTGTTGTGCGAACGCGGGCTTACAACCCATTTCTTGTGCATTTATCGCAGTGACCCCAAGAGCGAAGTGAGAGAGCAGTTCGGCGTTCCTGATTCGATGGGCGGCCTCGCTCCTGGTACTGTTCTCTTACACGCGTTGATAGGATCCATTCGTAAGGTGGGCTCACTCGCCCGTTCTCTTCGCCACCATGCAGGCCGAGTGACCTATGTGATCGATCCAAGCGGAACGGTGGTGCACGTGTACAATTCGCTGTTCAACCCGCAGGAGCACCTGGTCCACAGCCTGCACGCCATCTCGCAGATGCTCCTTCATGACTTGTCCTCGCCCGCCGCCATCAGCGCCGCTTCTTGATGCCTTCACCTCACAACTTCGTAAGAAAAGTTTCTTTTTATTTTCCTTGATCGAAATTCGACGGCAAAAGGAAATCCGAAAAAAGGCGGATGTCAGCTGGCGTGGGGGGGCTGTTGTCTGTGTCTTCTCTGAGCGAAGTGGCCATACGTGAGATCACATTTGCGAACGAGCGAGCGAACAAGAACAATTAGGAGAGCAAAAGAAGAACAGCAAGGTATGGGCACTTATGCACCAGCGCAGACATTTTTTTTTAATGAATGACGAGAACCCCTCGGTACATGCATCATTTAATGATCAAGCCTCGATTCCTTTGGCACTGCCCCATAGAGCGACGATGAGCGGCGGCGCACCCATTCCCTACATTGGGAGCAGGATCAGCCTGATTTCCGTGAGCGGCATCCGCTACGAAGGCATCCTCTTTTCCATTGATCCTAAGCAATCGACCGTGGCCCTCCAGAATGGTACCCGCCTCCTCCTCTGTGCTTCCCTGTATTTCAACGTGGGGGTGCGCAGAGCCGTTATTGACCTGTACATCTTGTTGCCACAGTGCGGTCATTTGGCACGGAAGGACGGCGAAAAGATGGACAGCAGATACCTCCCTCCAATAATGTGTACGACTACATCATCTTCAGGGGTTCCGACATCAAGGACCTCCAGGTGTGCGAGCCGCCCCCTCAGCCTGCGCAGCCCCAGCCACCAAACGATCCTGCCATCATCAACGCGGTACTTCCTGCCTTCTGTCGTTGTGCCCATCGCATCGCACTCTTACCTGCCCGATCGTTTGCGCGAAATGCAGATTCCTGAGAATTCGATGGGAGCCGGTCCTCAGCCGAGCATGTACGGCTATCCTGGGATGTACCAGTACCCGTACAACAACCCGTACCAGATGTACAACTCGTACGGCTATCCGGGCGCCTACCCGCCCCGGCCACACCAAATGGGGCCGATGCCGGGCCAGTCCCCCCTACCCTCAGCAGCCGGTACCCGGCGCTGGACAGCCCGCCGTCAAGGGTCAATCTGCCCCTGCTGCCGCTCAGCTCAGCAATCCTTCGGTGGACGGCGAAGATCGGGAAGATGAGGAAGATTCGCAACAGCAGGCCGCGACTGCCGACGTCAAGGCGAGCGGAGGAAAGGCAGAGGACGAGGAAAAGCCGGGCGACTCGGGGGTGGAGTCGAGCCCCGCCGCGGTCCCCGAGGCCGCGCGCGTCGAACCCGCAGCGGATGGCACCGTCTACTCGGCGGACCAGCACCACGAAGAGAACGGCGGCAGCCATGCTGCGGCCAAGCACCACGAAGCCGACGCCGGAGCGTCGCTGCTCGGCCCCTACACCGGCAGCGCTGCTCCTGCCGTCGGCGCTTACGGAAATGGAGAGAGGCGAGACCGATCGTACAACAACAGGAGCGGACCGCGCAGCGGAGGTGGCCAGCGTAGTGTAAATCAGGGTGGCCATGGTCAGCACGGTGGTCCTTCGATGACTGGTGGAGCGCCTATGCGAGGAGGCGACAGGAGAGGCGGCGCGCCCTCTCAGCCGAGAACCGGCGGAGGCGGCGGCATCGGTGGAGGTCATCACGGCAGGCCTCAGGGTGGCCCGGATGCGAGGAGCGGAAGCGGACCCAGGTCCGGAGGCGGTGGTGGCAGCGGCAGGTACAACGGCGCTCCTCAGAAGCTGCCCGAGTTCGATTTCGAGAAGGCCAACTCCAAGTTCGACAAGGAAAAGATCAAGGAGGAAGTTCTCAAGGTATGGCTCGCCCTATTCACGTCGATGAATGATAGACGGCCCGTTCTCCCTGTGCTAACAATCGCCTTCTTCCTTACTGCAGGGTGTGGTGCACGTCGACACTGAGAGCATCCCCTCCGAGGGTGAACAAGCGCCTCTGCCCGTGCCGGCCGAGAAGGCGTACGACAAGTCGACTTCCTTCTTCGACAGCATTTCGTGCGAGTCGCTCGACCGTCTGAAGGACGACAGCGACGGTGGCAACGCCAGATCCGACCGCCGCCGTCACGAGAGGAGCCTCAACGCCGAGACCTTTGGCAGAGCCGCCAACGACAGGTGCGCCTCATCCACCAGATCGATCGCTGTTTTGTGGGGTCCTCCTTCTGCAACTCACACCGCCCTCCCAACTTGTGTCCACGACGTAGGAGGGTGCACCACCGCGGTGGCCCGAGGCGCTACGGCCCTCCCGGCCCGCACCAGGCCCACGGTGGCGCCAGCGCGGGTGGCAGCAACCAGCCCATGGACAACAACAGGCCCGCCCGAGGCGGAGGTTTCACCTCAGCTCGTGGTGGCTATGCTGCCGCCGTCAGAGGAGCCCCCGGCCCCCAGAAGAGATTCGTGGTATGAACCCTCTTCAGCTCTCGCAACCCCCTCCCCCCTTCCGTGTACATTACTAACCCACAATGCCTCCTGTACCATATAGCCTGTGGGCCAGAGCTCTTCTCCCGTGGTCGGGCACTGAGTGTGCGCACTTCAGCAGGAGGACACCGGTCTTAGCCGCCACCAACGTTGGCAGCCTCGACTTAGCGCCATCACCCCCCCCCCCCGATTCTCTCTTCTACCCTATCAGCATTGTCACAAACCTCCCCCCCACGGTGGCGCTACACCTCCTGCTTCATCGGTCTTCTTCGCAAGCCCACATAACAACCAACAACAACATGGATTACCATTACGCAAGCGGCGTCTCTCGCTGGTGCTCTTTTCTCACCCACCCAACAAACACAAACCACGAGGATCATCAGGGCAAAATCGTGTGTTATCAAAAATGTCTCACTCCACGGTGGTGGTGCGTCATTGCTTGAGCACGGCCTCAACGTGGGCGAGGGTGCCGTTGTTGGCGGCGGGGGTCAGGCCCAAGATGCGGGCCATGAGGCCGTAGATCTCGATGTTCTGGAAGGACTTCTCGATCTTCACGCCCGACTTGAAGTGGGGCCACGGCCAACGAAGATGGCTCGCATGTCCGTGTACTGCGTGGAAACAGGAGAGGTTGAGAGGCGCACATCCCAACACAACTACAGCCAATGAAAAGAACGCACCTCGGGGTCGTATCCGTGGTCGCCCTTGATGGGAGCAGCGTTACTGTTGAGCGCCACCCATCCCAGGTCTGTATTGATATGGTTGGTGTCAGCCGCCCGCATGACAGTCATTGGGCACACGCGCATACGGTCGTACCCATTACGCCCACGATGGGGGTGATCCGGCGATTGTCGTTGTAGTGGAATCGCGCGGGCAGATCCTGCTTGAGGTAGGCCGACATGTTGGGGTGCGCGTTCTGAAGCGTGTTCACCAGCTGCTGTTCATCCCCGAGGTCTACCGAGAAACAATGATAAAATTACATAAATAAATAAATAGAAATATAAAACAAATAACACCCCGTAGTGGGTGGGAGTCGGCTCATTGCGCAGAGGACGTACTGTTGGGTATGATCATGAGAACGGGTCCATCGTTGATGACCCTGACGGTGGCCGGATTGATGTAGTCCTGGAGGCGAATGACCCGCTCCGGCGAAAGAGCTGTCATACCATGGTCGGACCTGGTAGTGCGTGGTACGTTGTGGTGAGTGCCATGCAACAAACATTAAACGATCATAACTGAGTGGCCGCACGCAACAAGAGAAAATTGGGGCATACACGAGGATGATGTCGATTGCATCGAACATGTCTCTCTCTTTGAGTCCGGAAATGAGTTTACCGAGAGCCGCGTCGGCCGCTTCGATGGCCTGCACCACCTCCGTCTAGTATTGGCGTTCGAGAGATCATGTGAGAGACGCACACAGATGAAGTCAGAGCGAGCGCTGCGAATTGGGGGGGGGGAAGACCGAGTTGGGTCCGTAGTAGTGGCCCTGTGTGTCCACTCCCTCGAAGTAGAGGGTGAGGAACGTCGGGCGCTCGTCCACGCCGTAGTCCAGCCATTCCAGCACCTTGGAGGGGGGCGGGGCACAGGGGGAAATGAATGAGTGCACGAAGCAAATCATGTGGGCGCTGTTTTCCAGAGACGACGTCGTGAGCGTCGTACTTGGTTCACGCGGCTTTCGTAGGGTGTGGCGCCATTGTAGGGGACGTAGTAGGACGGTCGGTAGCCCTTGATCTTTGCTTCGCTGCCTGGCCTGTGGGTCGGTCCGGTCACAGTGCGCTGACGCCGTCAGCTTGCTGCAACCCCCCGCCCCCACATGCACGCCCGATGCACACGCCTCGTACGAGGCACGCACCAAAAGTAGGTGCCCGCCCTTTGGCCCTGCTTCTCCGCAGTCACCCACAGCGGTTCACCTCCCCACCATCTACCATCTGACATGACGCCAATGTACATGGTTAAGAGTGTATATATGTGCATGCTTAGACGACGCAGCACTATGTAGAGAGATGTATGTGAGGGTTGGTATACCTGTGACTTGCTTGGAGTCTCTGATGCTGAAGGTGGCGTTGAACACAGGGTCGTACATGGTGTTGCTGACGATGCCATGGCTCTCCGGATAGAGGCCGGTCACAACCCTGTGTGCGTGTGCGTGTGCGTGTGCATGTGTGCGGTGTGTGTGTGTGGCGTGTGGACGGTGAGTAAAAGAAGAGCTTTTGGGCCACACACACTGACTGTGCGATCTGTCTGCTTGAAGTGGGTTACGTGTAGTGATTGGGAAACGTTTTGGACGGGAAGCTGGCGATGAGACCGTTCGACAGCACCACGCCTTGCTGGATCAAGGATCGGATGTGCGGCATCTCTTGAACGGCGTGGGTCAACAACGAAGCGAAGCGGGGGAAGGTGTCAGGCATCGATGGTGTTGTCCACGCAATCAGCACCAATCAGCGTACGTACCAACATCGCTGCGGGACAGATACTCGTTGCGGAAGCCGTCGATCGAAATGAGCAGGACCGTGGTTTTGAGGCCTTCTGGCGGACTCTCCCCGTCACTGCACACACAACATTACGTAATTAAATTACCAAACAAATATAATTGTAATTATTGTTATATATTTAAAAAAATAACAACATTATTTATAAATAAATAAATAACACGAATTTGTCCGGAAATAGAACGGGGGGGGGCGAGTACTATTGCCAGACGACAAGAACGAAGCCGATGAGGACGAGGACGGCGGCCAAGAAGAAGAGGGCCGTGGTGATCATCAACCACCGCCTCCGCCGCTGGCTCTCGACGTCGAGTTGCGAACCGCTCAGTCCACACCAAGCTCGGGCGCGTCCGGTGCACGACTCCTCCTGCGCCACCATTTGGACGAGCTCTGCGTCATCGTCGCCAGCACCGCCCAGCGTCGCGTACGCGCCCCTCGACCCCATCTTCTTCCTTGTCTTCTTCAAATTGTGTCGACAAGTAAAAACTCAAGACTTAGCCGTTTCTTTCTTCTCCTCATCTTCTGGTCGTGCCACGGCCTGTCACGTCGACGTCAGCCGAGGCATTGGTAGGCGTCGTCCCCTTGGCAATGAATGAACAACTGCAGACAGGCGTAGCCTTCCGCACTGTGCGTGGCCATCACGACGCCAAAGTCCGAGTTTGGATCGGACAGCTCTGTGAGCACAGAGGGAACGGTGAGCGGGTGAGCGTTGGGCGATGGGGTGATCAAGCTTACGGGAGGGAGGAGGTACTTATGCTTTGGCCAAGCGAGGGCAGTCTGGATGCATTCACGAGAAGTGGGTCGACGAAGGACAGGCTGGGCAACGTCTCGTTGAGGAATACGGCGTGTATAGTGAACCCTGCGAGCGCTGTTGTCAACAGCAGTTGAGGTGTTTTGGTCGTTGGTGAGATGCCGCACGTACCAGGCAGCCCCTTCATTTGGTTGGTTGAGGTATCATCATCGCGTTCACTCCCGTAACTCGACTGAACGCGTGCGCGCCCCACCGCATCTGTTTCGATGGTGCATGCAGGTGTGAGCTGATCCAGATAACCATCGGCAAAGGCTGTATGTTTGGTACCCCGGGCGAAGCGGTAGCGTCGAGCACGCCGTGGCGGAAGTGGTGCGGAGGCTCGAGGCTGTAGTCGAAGAGCAGACCCCGCGTGCTGCTGCTTCCCTGCCAGTTGGGCACCACCTGCGTCCAGAACAGCCCCGTTGCGTTGTCGTTGGTGAACAGCGTGTTGGACTCGCCCTGCAGATAGGTCACATGGCCTAGCTTGAGGCTCACAGATCCCTGAAGCGTCGAACGGCCAGGTGTTAGTGCAGTTTCACACCAAGCCACACACTCAAGGGTTATGAGCAATTTTGTACCTTGTTGGTGGCGGTGATGATGTAGTTGATGATCTCAGATGGCTGGCTCGGGATGTCATTGGTACGGATCACGAACAGCTGGTGGTCGTCCTCGTCGTTGCGCTGATAGCTCGCGCCGATGACTGAGGACATGGACACTTCACCCGCGGGAATCTGAGAGCGTGCGTAGGTAAGCAAGGCGGGTTGGCTACGCTGTGATGGTTGCGAGCGCGAGTGCGTACTTCGACGACGGTGATCGGCTCGATGGTGTCGGCGGTGATGGCGGCAACGTGAGTGAGCGATACCAGGTAGATGACCTCGACCTCGGTCATGTTCGTGGAGCTGTCCGGTACGATCTTTTCCAACAGCGGGAACGCCGAGCTCGTGCCGAAGCAGTACTTGTGCAAGAGCGTGTACCCCTGCGAGGGCTGCAGGGTGGGAATCTCGTAGGCGTAGAAGCAGTTGCTGGCGTCCTGCAGCAGCACGGGGATGGACTGCACCCAGTTCGACAGCACCTCGAACGACAGCACCAGCCCGTTGACCGGCTTCACCTCCGGTGGCAATGGCCACTGCATCGACTCCGTCACAAGTGCTCTGTCGGAGTCAGCAGGTGAGTAGAAACTCCTTCAAGAAGAAACAGAAGAAGAAGAAGAGGATGAAATGGAGGGGGAGGGAAGTTACTCCGAGTGTGTCATGTAGGCGTAGGATTGAGAGAGCCAGAACTGGAGTACGTCTTGATTTATGTGCCCGAGCGTGACGGAGAACCAGGGCGAAGTGTCCTGGTTCAGGGGCGAACACCCGTTGGTCACCGTGACCCCGCCCGAAGCAGGGTACACCCACATGCTGCAGCATGCCAGCCAGACCAAAGCCACAAGCAGCAGGAGGCGTTGCGTGGCCATCTTCATGAAGCCCGATAGCTTTTTAAAGACAGGCCAATCCGGGGCAAGAGTTTTTCTGTTTCCGTTGAAGCTGATGTAGTAGCAGCTAGAGTCTTGTTGATGGTGAGCATGTGTGACGTTTACTGGACATTTGAATCAGCAGCAGGCTCAGCGCAGTGGTCCGGGGTGGACGCCTGAGGTTGTGAGGCTTCCTCGTGGTGGTGAGGGTGATGATGGTTCTCGGGCTTCCAATCCTGCTTGATGAAGGGTCGCTTGATGGAGGTGATGAACGCGTTCTTGGTACTGAGCACGTCCTCCTGTGAGTTAGAGAACGGCGCACGCGTTCGTTAATCGCACAAGCAACACACACCACACACCACACACACACACACACCACACACACGCTTGAAGCGTGTGGCAGGAGGGAGGTGCGTACGACGGGGGAGAGGTCCTTGTAGGTGAGCAAGGGTCCAGGGCCGACCATGAGGTAGAGCTGGAGCGCCCAGTAGGAGTAGGAATCCAGGCCCAGCTTCTTGGCGCGCTCCACGGGTCCGCGGTCGTGCTTGGGCAGGCAGCAGGGCGAGAGGATCATGGCGGCCAGGCCGGGCGTGTTGTTGTACAGCCCGACGAAGGTCTGGCTCAGCTCGCCGCACAGGTGCACGCCCAGGAAGAGGCCCACCCTCTTCCTCCGCTTCCGCCGCTGCTCCTCCCTTCGCGCCGCTTCCTCGGCTTCGTCATCGGCTACCACCTCCTTGTCGTTGCCGTCCGACGTCGGCTCGTGCTGCTGCTGTTGTTGTTGGGGCTTGTTGCGCTGCTGTTCGGCGACCCACTTGCGGTGGCGTCGGGCCTTGCGGTTGCCCTCGTTGCCGCCCTCGGCGCCGAGCTTGCGCGAGATCCACTCATTGAAGCGTCGGTGGTGCACGTCGGCGTACTTGAACTTGACCCCGCCGAGCGCGTTGAAGTGTTCGAGGTTCATCTTTTGGTCCTTGTCGATCGCGTAGATCTTGGTGAACTGGCCCGGCAGCATCTTGCTGATGATGAACACGTTAAAGCCCTTGCCGCTGCACATGTCGAACAGGTACAGCTCGACCGCATCGTCCGCTTCCGTAGCTGACGTCGTCGTTGTGCTGCAGGTCGAAGATGATGACGATGGCTCTACTCGATAACTCGGATTGATGCGAGCGAGTAGCTGCTTCACCTTGACGTAGCTGGCCCAGGCTTCCGTCAATTCCTTGGCCAAATTCTTGTGATTGAGGAACTGGTAGTAGTCCGGATGGATGAAATCGCCATGCACCAGCTCGCCCCACCACGGCTGCGCCAGGCATTCGATTAAATCTTCCGAATAGGCTTCGGGATGAGTCTTAATTCGTTCCAGCAGGAAGTGAATCGCTCGTCGTGGCTTCAGTCGCTCCTTCTTTGGTCCCTCCCCGAGAGTAGGCGCATCGAACTTGCCACCCTCTAGTCCGTTGGCCTCCATCTCGTCGCTACCGCCTTTCAAATAGTTGAATTAGTTAATTTTTATTTATTTTTAAAAATCGCATTGGAATCAAATTTATTTATTGCACTTACTCAGTGCCATACCGGTCGTAGTTGCTCCTCTTCGTCTTGTCGCGTAGGACCTGGTAGGCCGTGACCACTCGCTTGAAGATCTCGCTGTTCTTCTTCTTCTCCTGCTCCGTCTTCTGCATGTCGGGATGGTACTTCATCGCCAGCCGACGGAAGGCCGTCTTGACCTCCTCCTCGGTGGCCGTTCCTTCCTTGCCCGAGAGCTCAAGCAGACGATAGTAGCCCTTGGGATCGACGCTCTGTGGGCGAGTCCGTGGTGGCTCACGGTCGTAGCTCTGCGTTATTGTCGTGAGTGGCATGAGATGGCATGATCGCGTGGCCATACAAGAGGGAGCACCACGGTGATGTAAGGGACCCTCGTACAGTGCGCTGGTACTGCTGTCGTTGGTGCTGCTGTTGTTGTCTGCTCTTCTGCCATCTCAGTTCCTCCTCGCGTTCCTTATCCCGCTGCTGTCTCTGATGCTCTCCGTAGTCGCGCCAGAAGGAGTCGCTCTCCCACGAGAAGCTGGCAAAACGTGTGAATCAACACGCGATAACCATAGGTGTGATGGGAATGGGCACGTACTGGGCTTGTCGCTTCTGCAGGGCCTCTTCAGCGACTCTCCTCTGCTCCTTCCGCCACGCGGCGTAGAAGGGGTAGTATCGTGCAGCCACTCCTGCAGGGCACGACTCAGTAAAGACTACGTAGTCTTGCCAGCGCTACGAGAGCCGGAACGGAATCAACGTTACCTGCGACTACAGACGCGAGCCCGATGGAAATAAAGCTCGGTATGTTGAGGAAGTCGAGACCCAACGCCGCTGCCCCGGCAATCGCACCCAATGCCGTCAAACCACCCACCTGCCCATTGGCTGACGTTAGTCACGGCCACGACAATTCCCAGAGACCTGGCTTTTGCGCTGACATAACTAACGCTACGTACCTTGAATGAAGAGTAATGGTGCTCACCGCCCACTTGGCCGTTGACGCCATTCACGAGCGCCCTGAAGTTATGGCCCATATAGCTATACTCCACCACATAGGACGGAAGGTACACCGGGAAAGGCTGGAGAGGCGGAAAACAGTCATTGGCTGCCATCTCGTTAGCGCGTGAAGAAGCAGCCAATGCATACCTTGATGTCACCGATGAAGTCAAAATCGATCGTGACTGAGCGGACGTCGTCTGCGCTGTAAAGGATCCTGTACGCCACACCGAACAGTTAGTAAGAGGCGCTTGGGATCCCTAAACCGTTTCATGCAGAGCCCGACCTACCGCAGGTATTCGGATCCGTCGTGAAGGATGTAGGACTTAAGGTCGGTAATGAGACGCTCTCGCGCCACAGAGGGAAACATCTCAAAGGGTTCGACCTCGCGCTTCTCTCCCTGGGGTCCCTCCATCATGGCCGACGTCATCCGCTTGGCGGCGTCGATGTACTGGCCCTTTATGGCCTCCGCATACTCTTGCTTGTGAGCGTAGGAGGCCAGGACTTGCATTTCCGGTTGGTTGTTGTGGAACTTGATGAGCGGCCTGACAGACAAAAAGAGCGCACGGGTGAGACGACACGGCATCAGTGCACCAGAGAGCTGCCGGCCTGGGACGTACATCTTGTGCCTGTTGGTGGGTTGCCACTGCATGCTGGCTCTCATCTCCATCCTCTTCGTGCGAATGTTGTACTCTGGGCGAAGTACGCGGTGGCCAACCTGGGGAGTTAATGGACTTTAGAATAAATACAATATATATTTTTTTAAAAATATAATAAAGTAAAATGCGGCACAGGCACCTCGCCAGACACAGTGCCCTTGACAGAGGCCTCGAAGACCCAGAAGGGCAGAAAGACGGGCCGCACGTCGCTGCTGGTCTTGAGGGTGGTCATGAGTGGCGACAGCCAAGACTGCTTGTGGAACTTATCGAAGGCGTTCAGCGCATCGGTGGGCGATAGGCGGAAGTCCACTGCGTAGGGGTTGAGGGGTTTGTAGCCTCGCTTGAGGACCAGCGTGGCAGTAAATGTGGATGCACTGCCACCGCCCTCAACGCGAGCCTCAGCTGTGAGCCTCACACGTCCCGCCAGGAGGGGAGAGGAAGGTTGTCGGGCAGGAATGCGCGAGTGTTGCATCGACCACGCGCGGACCGGCCGCTGTGCTCGCTTCATCTTGTGCTCCACCAAAATAGAAAAGGAAACTACAAAGTAAAAATGAAAATAAAATTGAAATGAAAACGCGCCAAAGCCGAAAAGGCGGGAAAAGAAAACGGGCGAGAAGCAACACATCGCCATCTGCCGAGGTGTTTAGAAAGAAAAATCATGGTGCTGATTGGGGCGGATGTGCATGTCTATAATGATTTGAAGCGGCTGCGAGGTGCTCGGCTTCCTGCCCTCACTATTCTCGTAGCCCCGAATCCGGACGCCATCGCTGCGAGCTACATTCTCACGGTACATGCTGATAGGATTTGGAGATGCTGGGCCGGATCTGATGATCTTTTCTCGTGTAGTTGATTCTCAAACGAGAGGATGTGCCATACGTGCTACGTCCCACCAAGGGCTATGAGGACTTGTGCGAAATCGCCGTGGAGGAGATGGCCAAGGAAGAGGTTCTTCTCCTCACTGCTGCTGGGCGCACTTTTAAGTCTTCTCATCCCTTCTCATTCCATTGATTGCCATGGCAGACTCGAGCTCTGTTTCTCATCAACTGCGGGGCGATGGTCGACCTCGGTCGGTTGCTGGAGCTGAACGAGACCAACGTCCAGGTGTTTGTGCTCGATTCGCACCGTCCCTACAACCTGCGCAACATCTACCATAAGCAGGTACGTCACGTCGTCTCGTCTCGTCATCTTCAGTACAGTGACGGCCGCGATGAGCTCATCGTCGACTTGGTTCCGTGTTGGTCCTTTGCGCAGGTGTGGCTCATCGACGACGGCACCACGGCTGGGTCCGATCTGCCCCGACTCGAGGACATGCTCGACGATCCGGCTTTCGAAGAAGAGAGCGATGAAGATTATGAAGACGACGATGAAGAAGAGCAATACCGACGGAACGACTACGAGGACGACAGCGGGATGTCCGAGGAGCGCGAGCGGGACCGGGAGTACAAGCGCAAGATGAGCAACCGGAAGCGCATCGCGAGACAGATATCGAAGCAGCCGCGAACCCAGGTCGAGAAGGAGTACTACGAGCAGGAGACCAAGGACGGCCTCTCCTACGGCGCTTCCGTCGCCGGCCTGCTGCTCGAGATGAGCTCCCAGGTCTACCAGAACGGCGTCGACCTCAGGTCAGTGCAGTTGCAGTTGCAGCCCCATGCGATCGTACTGTGCCTTACTAATGCGTAATGGTGGCGACGCGGCACAGGTTCTACTGGCCCGCGATCATCGGTCTCACGGACCAGTGGCTCCACGGACGGATCGATGACGCCAAGTACAAGTTCGAGGTGGAGGTCCACCAGAACGAGATCCAAAAGTACAACGTGAGCAAGATCCGCGAGGCGCAGGCCGTGCGGGCGCAGAGCGAGAAGATCAACAACGAGAACTACGCCGTGGACTTCAACGTCCTCCCGCCCAACTTCCGGTACACCAACGATTCGAGCGTGCTCGAACAGGTCACCTGCACCGACGACTTCAAGCGAGCCATACGAACCTCCGGTCACGCCCACGTCGAAATCTCGAGCGAGTAAGCCATCCCACTCGCCTCTCACTGGTTCACTGCAGTGTCGTAGTGTCAGTGCTAATGAGTTGCAACTGTAACCACCACAGGTATCGATTTATGCTCTACCGCCACTGGAGCCTGTACGATAGCATGTGGCACTCGCAGTACATCGCCACCCGCCTGGGCATCTGGAAGGAGAACGGACAAAAGGTGAGTCCGCACACATTTCTGTTCTTTAACGGGCTGCCCGGTCGTGGTGTGTCGTTGACAATCTCACGTCTCTAATCTCTAATGGGGGTTGATGGGGGTGACAGCGGTTGGACGTGCTGCTGGCGAGGATGGGCGTGCCTTTGAGCCAGGCCAAGGAGAACTGGAACTGCATGGACAACACCATCAGGGAGCAGTTCCAAAACAACGTGCAGCAGGCGGCCGCGCAGTTTGGCCTCACCGAAACCTGCTACCCCTCCTTTGTCCTCGTACGTGCCGTCAATCCCCCCCCCTCTCTCCGCACCACGTGGCACATGTCTCGCGGTTGTGCTGCGCCCACTGACGGTCCCGGTTCTGCAGCAAAAAGGCTTCAAGTCGAAGATCTCCGCCGCCGATCACGTGTACACCATCTCAAGGTACTCGACCACCCCAGAGGCACGAGCAAGAGAGAGAGAGAGAGAGAGCGGGTTGGTTGCTAACGTTATCTCTCCCCCTCTTCTCATGACGCAGCCTGCTGGAGGGAGCGGACGGCTGGGCCGAGGATGAGAAGGAGGAGAAAGAGGAGGACAAGAAGTGGGTGTCCAATTTTTGGCGAGCCTTTGACTCGCTGTCGCTCCGACAAGACGACGCCTACGATCTCTTGCAGCAGCGAGGTATCTATCGATCCATCTATCCATTACCGAGCCAAAAAAAGGGCCCCCAGTCGCCCGCGCTTGTCTACTAACACGAGCGTCGGCAATGCAGGTATCGAGTTGGCGATCAACCTTCAAAGGGCGATTGTGAGACAAGCCGCCGACGTTGTCGAAAAGGTACGTAGCTCACCACAACACCTCAAGGCCCAGATAATAGGCTCCAAAACGTTTTAATCCTCTGCCTTCGTTCGCGTGTGCAGAGGTGCATCACGCACTGCGGCCCGATTCGCTACACTATGCTCCATCAGACGCCGGACCTCAACTATTTCATCCACCCGCTGGCGCTTCGTAAGCTCGCCCTGTTCCTCGTCGAATACGTCAACGTACCTTCCACCTTCCACCCCCTCCTCTCCCCGTGCGCTCTCGGGCACCGATGTGTTACAGGACGAGGGTCGTTACTGAATCCGCTCGGCCTTGCCTGACAACAGGAGAGGAAGACGAAAGCCAAGCCTTTCCTGGTGTGCGCCAAGAACGAGAAGAAGGGCACCTACCTGATCGTCGGCGCTGTGGGCACCGAACAAGAGTTCAACTCATCCCAGAAAGAGAAGTGCGCCCCCCCCCTCTCCAACGGTGTGCGCGTGCGCGTGCGCGTGCGTGTCTTGTCGGTGTGGTGTGTTCACCACCTCTTGGCCGGCAAACAGGAACTTCGGTCGGAGCTTCAGAGAGGCGGCGTCGCGCACGGGAGCGCGCATCGCACACTTTGGCTTTGACTCGTCCGTGGTGGAGGTGATGGCCGACGACATCCACAAGTTCATCGAGTACATCCAGTGGCGCATGAAAGGCAAGATCCAGCATTAGAGCGCCCACGCGTTGTGCCGGTGCGTGCGTCGTGTTCAGCTTCTCTGAAGTGAGTAAAGTGTGATCCTTGCATTGAACGACTTAACGTACATCACGAAAGGGGGGTGGAACGAGAAGAAAGGAGGACGGCATATACGACTCAGAGATCGAGATCAGCGTTGAAGGTGATGGGGTGAGTGGCCAGAGTCTTGAGGTTGACCAGCACGATGGTGCTTGTCTTGGTGAACGACGGCACCGAAATGAGTCGCACCACCTGCCCCTTGGGACCTGCACAACATGTTTGAGTCTCTGCTGCTGCTGCTGCTGTTGCTGCTGCTTCTTCTTCTTCCTTCCGTGAGGGGAGTGCGGGACACGTACCGGTGATGAGCTTGGAGTCGTAGGTGGCCTGGTTGGCGGCAAAATAGATGTGCGGGCACTCGTCCAACACGAACGGGTCCTCGCCCGAGAAGGGGTAGGCGCCGAGGGTGTCCGGAGTCGTGGGCGCGAGGTGCGACCAGTTCAACGTGTCCTCCATGATCCTGAGCGTGTCAGCTGCAGACGAAAAACGGCGACAACGCAACGAGTCAGAAGAGAACGACGACGAAACACATCAACCAGGCGTGGTAATGCTGATATGTGATAATGATGAGAAGGGCGGGGTACTCTTGCTTGGGTCGATATACTTCTTGATGTCATCGACGGGTTGTCCCGAGTGTCCGACGATGCTGTGCGGGGTGGGGGAAGATGGAGACAGTCAGCACGAACAGCCTGAGACGATGACCGGGAATTGAAGAAGCCTGTTTCGCAGATGAGTATATACGTACAAGAGGCCGTCGACGCGGCACTGATAGGGGTTGGTCACCGAAGAGAACGTGGCATAGCGGCTCGCCCTATTCAACAATCAAGCAACAATAAATCGGGGTGGCTGGGTGGGGGGGAGCAACTGGGTTGTCGGTAAGAGGTGTAGTATGTACGTGGGGAAGAGGCAAGGGTTGAAGGGCTGCTGTGGCAGGACGAAGTTGGCTGGGTCTCCGGCACCGGGCATGATGTCCACGTGCATGCTGGCGGCCAACTGGCACAGTACCTGCTCCAGCTCCTGGATCGGCCTCAGCAAGCGCGCTTGCGCTTGCGGGGTAAGCCTCTGCAATAATAATAATAAGAAGAATAGACAAAACGGCAACGCGTCAGCTCCATGGATCATCTTCTGTTGTTTGCCAACGATCGTGTTATTACGAACCTTCTGGTAGTTCTTGACCGCAGCGCCGTCGGTCTTTTCCTCTGGCGGGACCAACGAGTTGCCTGCGATGATCAGTCGCGAGATCCGCGACTCGAACTCTTGTTCCTAAACCGGTTCGCAATGCGGGCAGTGAGTGGGTAGCGCATGTGAGACCCGGCAGACACATTGCAAGTGAGGCCGCAAATCATAGAGGAGGGCCGTACCGCGGCACCGCCAATGTGGCCGGAGAGGTAATCGACCATGAGCTGTACGGCGAGGGGATTCCTCACCTCCTCCCCGATGTTGATTCCTGACACAAGGGCGACGTACTTGTCCTTCTCTGCAGAGTTCGCACACGACGAGATGTGTGAGTGTCGGAGTGGCTGGGTGCGTGTAGTGTGCGCCTACAGGCATGAAGCACGTACCGAGGATGGGACGCTTGAGCTGCATGGGAATGCCAGTGAAGATGATGTCATCCACCTGGAAGTCGCCGTCCTTGAGCTCGACTCCCCGGATAGCGACGATGATGCCTTGAGAATGGGCAGAGAGCAAGAGTTAGATTTGCAGTGCGCGGCAGGCGATGACCGAGGGACCCCTAGGGGGTTGGAGGCAAAGTGTACCCGTGACCACAAGGTCCGTAGGCAGGTCGACGCCAACCAAGGAGATACGACCCGACTCGTCTTCGATGATGAGACGGTCCTTCTCGCTAACGTAGTTGGAACGAAGCGGAGGCGGAATGATCGAGCGCTAGCAATGTAGTATGGAGGGAAGAGAGGAAAGCAGCATCAGGCCCAGGAGTACAGATGAGATGCAAAGCAGACGTCTCTGTGGTGTGGGGCAGCGCATACCTCCTTGGCGTAGGACTCGAGGATGTTTGGGCGAAGGGGCATTTCTTTGTAGAGCGTACCGGCAACGATGACCTCCTCATCGGCCCTCAGTTCCAGAATCTTGTTCACGATTCGCGGCAGCTTGGCAGTCGATGAAGATGAAGAAGATACTCCCAATTTGCCTTCCCACCGCTCTTTGGCAGCCTGGAGCAGCCGTGGTCGCATCTTTTGGAGTCGGTGATAGTAAAGGGGTGCATACTGCTGCGAGTACTCCTTGGTCAGGGTTCGAAATCGGTGGTGCGCGGCGTCGTAGTCGCCAGTCTCTCGCCTGATTTTGTGTTTCTTTCCCTTTTCCTCTCCTCCCTCGACCGCCATGGGGTCGATAATCGCAGGCGGGCAGAGCAGATCATCATATTTGTGGGGGCTGTGGCAACAATTGAGAGTGATTAATTTGAATTGAGGGCAGCCAAGCTGTGGCAGAAGGTGAAACGTACTTGCCAGGCAGATGTGCTTCGTCGCCCACGACCATGACGTGAGGGGCTTCCATCTTTTCAATCAGATGGGATGTTGTTGTGCCTTGTTTTCGATCTCCCGCCAAGAGGACCTTCGCGCCAAAACAGCGTGCTGACGTGGCCAATTTTTATTAGATTACTTCTGCAAACACCAAGGCTGGAGATGAAGCACAGAAAGGGCGGTGAGCAGCCAGCGAAGATCGAAGAGGAAGAGGGCAAAGCGGAGGTTGTGTCGAAGGAGGCCAAGAAGGAGAAGAAGAAAGAGAAGAAGGAAATTCAGGGCCTGGGCTCGCAACAGGTGAACCTGCAACTGCCCATCTACGGCCTGGCAGTGCGCCACGTTGATTTTGAAGAAGTAGAAGCAAACGAAAAGGGCAAGAGCAAGGATGGAAAGAAGGAAACGAAGGGTGCCGCACTGCCGCTCAGCGTAATCGTTGGTGGGGGCGGCGGACCGGGCAACACTGGAATCGAAAACAAGGTTGCCTTGTTCGAGTTCAAGGTGCACCTGCTCCCTCTCCAAGATCTTGCACAGTTGTCTGACCCTTATTGGCCTGCCCTGCAGGATGGTGGCTTTCACCTGCACGCCTTGGCGGACATGGGAGAGTGCGCCATCATGAACCTTGCTGTGCACCCGGAGGTACCTTGCCCTTACGGCCCGCATCGACCTTTGCACTGGCGGCCTCACTCACGCGCAAGCCGGGCGATGTGTGCACACCCAACCCCAGGAGCGAGTGATTGCGTGCGGTGCGGAGAACAAGTGTCGTATCATCAAATTCACCGAGAAGGAGTGCGTACTACCACGAGACAACCTCATGTAGCGGTGTGTACTGAAGGGCGGACGTAACATAACAGGCTCACGACGGGGCAAGAGTTTCAGACGGACTTCTTGGAGAACAAGGAGGAGAGCGACCAGGTAAACCTATTGCTTGGCGCGTTCGAACACAATTGCCCACCTGCACGCTTACAATAACACTCTACCAGAAAGCAGTTCTCTTCACGCCCAATGGCAAGGTGCTCGTGACGGCTGGCGTGGACGGAGCTGTTCGTCTTTGGGACTGTACGTTGTTGTTTTCGAGCTGGTGGCGCGTTGGTGCTTCGCCAGGGCTCATGCTGCGGCAACTACTCAGGGCCAACGCTGAAGGAGAAGGCTGCGCTTATGCCAGCTTCGCCCAAGGAAATCGCGTCGATGCACATCTCTCCCGATGGACTCTTGGTATGTTGCCCCCATCCGCAGGGCTCCTACAGCTATGTGCCCGGTAAGAGCTGACAGGGTGCTCTGTATTACAGCTGGCAACCGTGACAGGCCAGCCGGGCGACGTGTGCCGAATCTGGCAGCTGCCGAAGGACGGCAAGCCAAAGGAACAGCAGACCATCACCCCTCCCGGTACGGATGTTGTGGTGATGATCGTACGCAGCAGGCGGTCTGATTGACACAATCTCATCGAATCATGCACTTTCGTTTTTTTCCCCTTTCTTTCTTTCAGGAAGCGACAAGACCTTGTGCTTCAGGGACTGCAAGTTCTCTCCCGATGGACAGCACCTGTACACCATCCAAACCAAGAGTCGATCCGACTCCTACCTGACGAAATGGAGCACAAAGAAGTGGCAGGTACGCATGCCAGGCTATATAGTCGGTGGGTGCGGACTGACAGTTTTATCATTTGGGCAGGTGGTCTCGACGACTGTCTCGCACACCAGAGCGTCGGGAGCGTGTGTGTCGCTTAACGTCAGGTAAGTCGTGTCATACGATTCGTGTCATGCGATGATGGAAGCGAGCTGATGTCGGTGTCTGAGTAACAGCCAGGACGGGCAGTACGTGGCCACGGGCAGTGGCGAGGGCGAGTTGGCGATCTTCCGTACGAGCGATATGAAGTGGATTCACAGGAAGCGTGTACACGACTTCTTCGTGTCCAAGGTAGCCTTCGCTCCCGATAGGTACGTTACTTCTCCTTCCACGTTGCACTTGAGCGACACTCCGACAACACCGACCACTCACCATCACGAGGATCATTTCATATCCCCTCCAGCTCATACGTCTTTTCCACGTCGGGAGACTACTCTCTTGTCGCCACCGCCGTACAGACATCTCGAGGTTCTCCTTCCACTCCTCGCCGCTTCCCTCCACTGTTAGGTCTCACACCTTTTCCTCTGCAGGTGTCATGTCGTTGTATGGTCGAGAGCTCTTCGTGACCTTTGCCGTGCTAGTGGCGCTGCTCGCCATCTTCATCCAGTACTTCGTACGCTGAAGATGAAGGCATGCTTGTTACGCTGCGACGTTTGAATAAAGAAGCCTCGAGAAACTAAAAGAAAATAGAAGAAAACAAGGGCTGCCGGGTGAGCAAGAGGGAGGGGATGAAGGTGAACCAGGAGTTCCTTACGCTGGTGCTGCTGGGCCAAGGGACGACACACTCGCACACCCCAGGGGCGCCGGCTCCAGCGACGCTGCCCCACAACAAGAGCCCCTTCGAGTATCTCCACACGGAGGAGGGGTTCCTACACGCCAAGACCTACTTCAGCTTTATCGCCAACAACAACGACGAGACCGACGAGTACTTCAATGAGAACCAGTTCATCAACTTCCTCAGGAAGCTTACCGATTTCAACGACCACGAGATCCTCGAGATCTACGACACCTTCGGTAACCCCCCACCCCACACTTCAACAACTTGGCCCACCGCCCTGTCTCACTGCCCCGCTCCACGACAGATGTGCGACTGGGCGAGGCCAGCGGGATCCGCTTCGAGGAGTACTTCTGCATCCTTTCCCTCCTGGGCTCTCGCGACCACGGCCAGCTGACCAAGTCCCTGTACGTACGCACGCTACCGTACATCGCAGCGGCTGAACACCCGGCTCGGCTGTGGTTAGGTTTCTGCACGGCGAGTCCATGTTCAACATACTTGTCAACAAGCTCACGGGTGAGGTGATCTACGACAAGTTCAGGAGACTGGGCTTCCTGCTGGGCATCCCCGAGACATACATACTAGGTAATGACCGACAGTGCTGGCGCGGTGGCCACTCCCCTGTAACGATACTGATGCACTCTTCACTTTGAATGTACGGCACACACACAGCGAGGTTGTGGCCCTTTCAGCTGAATGCGTTTTCGTCGTTCGACCGCGACTCATTCATGCTTCACTACTTCGATATCCTCTCCCACGTGGAGATCTACCTCAAGCAGAACGACACCAGAGATTCGGATGACGGCAAGACCAAGGGTCCTCGATGCGCCGTATCGTGACCGCCGACCGGCTTAACACGCCCTCACTTGTCCCCGTCTTTCTTGTACAGCCTCCGTACTTTTCACATACAATGGCTCGAGTCCATCACTTGCTTCCTTGCAGGCACACACCAGCATCTGAAGACTTTGAACTCATCCTCATCAGCCTAAAGCCCAAAAGGCTGACAATCAGAAGGCCAGCCCAGGAGTGGGCAAGCAAAATTCCAAGGATGCCAAGAGAGCACTGACAGGCAATGACTTGGGTGTGAAGATGGAAGATGGAGGGGTGGCTGTTGTTCCGTTGGTCATCTTCGCCAAGCGCAGGCGAACCCTGAGCGAGAAGTCGTGGTCTGGTCGGGGACAGCGCCATGGTGGCGTCCTATAAAATGCCAGAGCGTGGCCGGGTCCAACACGCACAAGCTGCTCACACCACCCTACAAACACAAGACTTACACAAGGTTTGCTCACACCACGCGAACTTGCTCTTGGGCAAACATGCGCGCTCATGCTCCTTACTTGTGCAGATGGCCACCACGCAAGGGCAGACCACTCTGGGGAAGGAGGTGGCAGTTCATGACATCTTCCAGAAGACTTTGGACAAGACTGGGCACTGGCTCAAGGACATCAAGAACGAGTGCAACCTGGCCGACATTCACCAGGCCTACACCCTTCTGCGCGCCGTCCTGTTCACCATCAGGTACCACCCCTTCTTATTCCAGATCACCCCTGTGCGCTCACCCGCCCGGCTGTGGCCCTCATCAGGGACCGGGCGCCGATGATGGACACGATCCACTTTGCGGCCCAGCTGCCGATGCTGGTGCGCGGCTTCTTCTTCGAGGGCTGGGTCCCGTACGACACGCCTGATAAGGGTACGTAGCCACGTCTAGAGTGTTGATCGAGTGGCGGTAGTTGGCTGATGATAGCTCTCGAACAACCCAGATATCAAGACGAAGCAGAACTTCTTCGATACTGTCACGTTGCACGTGGGCAACAGGCCAGGCCCTCTCACTGAGGACATCGAGCGCAAGACCATGGGCGTACTCAAAGGTACAAGCGGCCACCATGAGTGAGATGACCGATGGTTGACCTGTGGTCTGGTGCATGCAGTGATCAACAAGTACGTCACCAGCGCCGAGATGAAGAAGCTCGAGAACGTCATGCCCCACAACATCAAGGAGCTCTTCTCTCCTCAAGCCCAAGTACCCACCTCGGCCAAACCACCACCCAAGCCAGCGCCTGACCGAACACAGCTGTTTTTTGCAACTGCTGTTTGTGTAACTCCACAAACGGAGGAGTCAATTACATGTCTCGCATTCTCGCAATCCAAGGCACCAACGCTTGGCAACGCCGATTCGCCTCACGGCAGCAGCTGAACGACGAGCGCAGGACAACGGACCACCGAGACCCCAACGAGCCTTTTTGTTGGCCCGCAGCAACCTAGCCGCAGTTTGCCTCTCCTTGACACTTACACAGCGCCTAGGACTTACGCTACCTGTATTACCGCTAACAAAGAAGACGAAGAAGAAGACGAAGCCGCAAGCATGAGGGAGTACACACTTGTCGTCCTGGGTCCTGGTGGCGTTGGCAAGGTAGTTTTTGATGATTTCTCCGACCATTCGTGGCAGCCTGCTCTCGAGTCTCTATGCTCATGTTTCTTTCCTTCCCTCTCCTCTTCCAAATAAGTCGGCCATTACGGTGCAGTTCATTCACGACAAGTTCCTCGAGCGATACGACCCCACCGTCGAAGACAGCTACCGGTACACCGCAAGCCCCCCCCCGTCGCTTTTCGTTTCATTTTGTAGTTTCGCTTTTCGTTTTCGTGAACTGGCCGGGGGGGGGGTAGTACACCCAACACGCCCGTTTTTGGTGCTAAGTACTGACGCGTGGCGGGCTGCCGGGCGCACAGAAAGGAGATAGCTGTCGATGGCGCGGCGTGCACGCTGGACATCATGGACACTGCTGGCCAGGACGAGTACAAAGGTAACAACTCAAACATGGGCCTGCATTATTTTTATATTATATTATATTATATTATATTATTTATTTTTGTTCGACCGTGATTGGTGGATTGCTCATCACGCTTGTTTGTGGTGGTGCAGCGCTGATGGACCAGTACATGAAGAACGCGCACGGGTTCCTGATGGTGTACAGCATCACGTCGACGACGAGCTTCGAAGCGATGAACAAGTTCCACGAGAGCATTCGCCGAGTGCACCCGACGGCCCTGCCGGTGCTGCTGGTGGGCAACAAGGTCGACCTCGAGAACGACCGCGAGATCCAGCGCGCCGAGGGCGAGGAGTGGGCCAAGAAGCACCACACGGGCTTCATCGAGGTGAGCGCCAAGGGCAAGATCAACGTCGTCGAGACCTTTGAGTGGATGGTGCGCGCCATCGACGAGTGGCGCAAGAAGCACCCCGATCTCAACACCCAGCGCTCGGCCGCCGTCGGCAAGAAGAAGAAGTGCACCCTCTTCTAGAAGCGGAGGAAACAGAAGAAGAAGAAGAAGACCGGGGAGGAGTGCGCGCAAGAGGGTGGCACCAACATGATGGTGTTTTGATGCTGTGTTTTTTCAGCCACACATTGGGCTTTAGATGAGGCAGTGCTGTGTACATACATGAAGACAACAAAACATTGATATGTTGCAACGTTTCTGTTTGCGCGTGCCTATAGTCGACACAAAGTAATGTTTTCTTTCATAATTCCCTGGCCATTTCTGTGAAGATAACTGTAGATAGCAACTGCCAACAACCAACAATCGAACGATCGAACGTTAGAAGAATGGAGCCTCGAATACGGGGGGAGGCTCATAGTTCTTCGGGTGGGAGGCGCATTCATTGGACGACTCCATTCTTCGAGAGGCGAGGCCTCGCGCCCGCGGACGCGATTCGATATGGCGCGATTTTTGCCGAGCAGGCGATCGAGCGCGAGGACAGCGGCAGCATCGACCACGCACTCCTTCGCGAGATGGGTATCGTGCTGGTCGGGCATCGAATCAAGATCTTGAAGGCCCTGCACGATGTGCTAGCCGTTACAACCGGAATGGAGGGCGAAATGGAACCTCATCAACGGCCCGCCCCCGGGCAAAAGCCCAGCTTGGCGACAAGTGCGACCACCGCTTCATCTCAACATCAATCAGGAGCTGGCCATGCCTCAACGTTGAGGCCGCCCGTGCCAACGACAATCTCGGCTACGCCACTTCGGTTGCCAAGCGGCCACCCTACCGCGAAGCGACCTCGAGCGGTCGATGTAGACAAAGAGAGGCATGACTACACAATGAAGAAGCAGAAGCAGACTCATGTGGACCTGCTCGAAGAGGACGAGAAGAAGAAGAAGGAGAAGGAAAAAGAAAAGGAGGAGGAGGAGGAGGAGCGTGAGAGCAGCATGTTCAGTGCTGACACGAGCGCGGCGGAAGACGCCAAATGGAGTGGGGACTCGGATGAAGAGCACAACGGCAGCGAAAGCGAGGACGAGGACGAAGAAGAGAAAGCGGAGAGTAGCTCCATGACCCAACGTCCCATCCTACGCGAAGGTTCGTTCCTCCTCATCACCATCACCATCACCATCACCATCACCATCACCATCACCATCACCATCACCATCACCATCACGGCCTGACCGCGGGCAATCGGGTTCATCAGTTGTCGTGACCCCGCGCGACGAAGACCTGCCGCGCATCGACTTCGACATGGTCAAGGACGGCCAGCTCGACAAGCTCAAGGAGTTCATCCTCGCCTCGTTTCAAGCAGGACAGCAACCACGGCCGCACCAGGTGGAGTGCTGCCCACCATCTAGAGCTCTATGTGCCTCGTGTGACCCCTACGTTGTGCAAGCTCACACCCTTGATCTCTCTCTCCTTCACCTGCGCACGCACACACACCGCACGCACACGCACACGCAGTGGGAGGCCGTGTTCAAGATCGTGCAGGACCTGCTGCAGCCCGTGGAGAACCTCGAGTCGGAGGCCATGAAAAACTTCCTGCTGCAGCACTCTACCGGCAGCGGCAAGAGCCTCACCATCGCGTGCTTGACCTATTGCCTCTACCTCCTGCGGGTAACCCTTCTCTTCTCTCTCTCTCTCTCTAGCACCACGTGTTCTGAATCTATATCACGACACACACACACACACACACACACCACTAGGACATCTGGAATAGCAGCCAATTCAAGTACAACAAAATAGTTGTAATGAACGACAGGTAAGCTGCTGCTGTCGCGCTCATCTTTCGTTTGTGGTTCGGTGTGGCGGTGCACGCACCTGACTCTGACCGGCGGCGTGGCATGACGTGGCATTGCGCACAGGAAAATATTGGACGAGCAGCTGGGCGACACGGTGCTGGACTTTCTGTCGGCCAACGGCATCGGCGATGTGCAGCGGAGTAAGTCCTCGGACCACCTAGCTGCGCTGATGCTGGCCGATCGCCCCAGAGTGATCATCACCACCATGCAAAAGTTCATCAAACTAGGCAAGGTAAGAGAGCAATCCTGGTGACACACCAGCGCGTGCGTGTCGCTGCAGTGGGCCATGGATCGTGCAGCTGATCGCCCGCGTCCGTGTTCTACGCGCTCGGTGCTGTGGTTGTAGGTCGACATGGACGAGGACAAGCAAAAGACCATCGCCATCATCGCCGACGAAGCCCACCGCTCCCATGGGCGAAAGAGCACTCGCACCATGCACGGTACTGCGACAAGCGGCCGCTGCCCGCGACCATGCCTGACAAAGCGCTTTCTCACTGGTCTGGCCCTTTTTTTCGGTCGAAACGTTCTCAGAGTTCTTGACGGGCTTCTCTCGGCAGTCGAACCGTCTCTCGTATTTTAGCTTCACGTGCACCCCCAACTTCAAGGCGCTCGAGATGTTCGGCGTGCGCAATGCCAACGGAGCCTACGAGCCTTTCCACTCCTACAGCATCGAGCACTGCATCAGGTGAAGCTCTTCTCCACCCTTCACTCTTCACACTCGATGAAGGAACGTGGGCCGACACTAACGAGCGCAAGTGCACAGGGACGGCTATGTGCTCAATCCGCTGTTGAACTACAAGAGCGTCGGCATCTACGCCAAGCTGACGCACCAGAAGAAGGAAGAGAAGTCCTTCGAAGAAGGTACGTCGACCCTCCAGGCCCTTCTTCTTCTTCTGTCCCCTCTCTCACGTGGCGGTGGCGGTGATATCTATCTGTGAAGGCCAAGATGCCACGTACCACCTGGTCAAGAGCGCGGCGGATGACCGCGTGCTGCTCCGGGAGAAGGCCAAGTACATCGTCCAGCACTTCCTGGAGGTGCTCGAGACGAAGACCACGCCCACGTTTCGGCCCAAGGTAACCAACCCTCCCCGATTCGAAATCGCCCTCTTCCTTCGTCGCTCCTGCCTGTATCGCCCACCTCACTGATGTCGTCTGGAACGACACCGCACATCACCCATCGCGCAGGCCATGCTCATTGCCAGCAGTCGCAAGCACATCATGTGGTACAAAGAAGAGATCGAGAAGCTGCTGCCCGACATTCCTCGCGACAAGGTACCGCCCGATGGCGCTCCCGCAACTGTCTATTCTTCATGAATTAATTAATCTTTTTGATGATGATGGTGATGGTGGCGGGCTGGATCAGCGTTTCGGCGTGGTGGCGGCCTTTACCCAGTTCCTCTATGACGGCAAGCGGTTGGTGAAGGAGACCGACGTGGCGGTGAACGGCAAGTACGCCAAGGACATCGTCAAGTTCTTCAAGGACCCGGCCTCAAGCGTGAAGCTCATCATCGTGGCCGACAAGTTCCAGACCGGATTCGATGAGCCCATGCTCCACACGCTGTACGTAGACAAGCGTCTACGCGGCTCCAACGCCGTACAGACCATTGGTTCGTTCATACCTACATTTGCGTGTGCCGTGGTGCGTGTGCGTGTGCGTGCCGTGGTGTGTGTGCGTGCGTGCGCCGTGGTGGGTTGCGTGCGCGATATCTAAACTCATCAATGGCTGTTGCTTCTAGGGAGGGCGAACAGAGCGGCGCCGGGCAAGACGGATACGTGCATTGTAGATTTTGTGAATAGTCGAAAAGACATCGGCCAGGCGTTCGCCCTCTATTGGAAGATCACGACCCTCAAGTGCCATGCCAACCGGTGCGAACTCGCCCGCAATCTTCTTCGAGTTCACACACACACACACACACTGACGTCGAGCCGGCCGCGATGTACAGCACTCCGCAGGAGGCCAAGCTTGACCGAGTCTCGACACGGCTGCTGCAAGTGCCCGGGCTCGAGCAGAAGTCGCTGCAGACATGTGCGTGCACACGACACTCTCTGTCGCTTCGTGTGTGCGCTTGGGTATGGCCGTAAGCGCTAACCACTTGGCGGGCGGCGCGTCATTTCTATTTCTATTTTGTATATAATAGGTATGGACCATATTACGATCGAGGATGCCCTGCGAATGAAGGCCCAGAACAGGGACCGGCTGATCGAAGACGACCTGCGCCAGTATCTGGCGCTGTGCGATCGTCTGCAGGTGGAGAACGCGCGGATTCCCTATTCGTTCATCCGCCGCCTTCTGCAGGAGCTGGCCCAATTGCGCCATCGACGCAAGATCAACACCTTCCAAGCGCTCCTCGACAACGTCACCATCACCATCGAGAAGATCGAAGAGGAAAAGGGTTCGTCTGTCGTCACCATCATCATCATCCCCGTCTTCATTCTTCTGTGTTCGCTCTTCGCTCTTCCCCCCCCCACACAATCCCTGATGATGGTCTCCTCTCTCCCACACGCGTAGGCGCCATATTTCTGGGGCCGGACGGGCAGGTGCTGCAGATGCCCTCCGACGAGACAGCCAGGAAGCGATTTGTCAGGCAGGAGGTACACAAATTCAGCTCTGCCACTTAGTGTGGTGTGTGTGGTGTGTGTGGTGTGTGTGGTGTGTGTGGTGTGTGTGGTGTGTGTGGTGTGTGTGGTGTGTGTGTGCGCGCGCGCGCGCATGCGTGTGTGCGTGTGTGCGTGTGCACTCGGGCGAGGTCGCTCACCGTTCGCGCTGCAGACGATGACGTCGGACCAGATCGTGGAGGCGTCCAACCACGAGTACCATCGGCGGGTGAGCAACATGTGGGGCGACCCCAAGCCGTCCGACGACCCGGCCGACGTACCCGAGATCGACAAGAACACACTCGAGTTCGCCCAATCGATCTGGGCCTCGCGGCGGCGGGCCTCCGGGTCGGAGGTACGCTCTTGGCCTTCCCTCTCGAGATGAAGCAGGAGGGGACGAGCGATTATAAGTCAAGTCTCACTCGCGCTTGGCGCTCTCGATGATGGCAGCCACCGCCGACGGAGGCGGAGAAGAAGCGGGCCAAGGAGCGGAGGCTGGTGGTGTCGCGCGACGCCTACAGTGTGCTCGACCGTGAGGAGTTCGCCCGCCGCGGACGGCTGCCGCAAGCCACCCGACCCGCTGCTCGGGACCGCACACCCTCACCCCCGCTGCACTTATCATTTTCATCATCTTCTTCATCATCTTCATCATCATCTTCATCTTCATCTTCATCTTCTTCATCTTCATCATTATCCTCTTCATCTTCATCATCAGCCCTTCCTTTTAGTCTATTGCCGACTCCGATTTTATCTTCATCGACGGCTGCCGCGGCTCAGCGGTTGACGTCGTCAGAGCCCGCCCTGCCCTTCGCTTCGTCATCATCGTCATCATCGTCGCCATCGTCATCATCATTAACTTCACTATCGACATCGACATCAACTTCCTCATCGCCTTTGCGCATGTCTTCGGGCGATGACGAGCGCTCTTTGCGACGGACGCGAGGTACGCGCGCGCTTTTCATTCATCACACACACACACACACACACGAACCCTCACCCGCACCCATGCGATCGTGCGCCCAGAGCGTCGACCGCCGCCCCTGCGCCACCTGATCCAGCTCCTCTCCTCCGCCACGTGCGACGACAAGGACCGTCGAAAGGCTCTCCGCGCCATGCGGGACCACGTCACCCTCGGTACGTACCAAGCTTACACCTCGTTTCTCGTCTGACTTCTGTGTTGGCACCAACACTGTTTGGTTTTTGCTCACAACAGAGGAGAGCTGGGCGGTGGTGCGGGACCTGGACGGGCTGCGGCCGCTCGTCGAGCTGATCACCAACCGGGAGCGCAGCGCCCTGGAGGACATCTCCAGCAACCTCTCCGAGCGCGGCTGGGCCATCGCCGCCCTGAGCGAGCTCGCCCGCGACGGTAACCCCCCCCATTTCTATTTCCATACCATTTATTATTTCAAAAAATATGAAATATTATTGTTTGTTATTATTAATAAATGTTAATAATAGTATTACCATTACTATTTACAGTGTTTTTTTATTTAATTGTTGTGGTGGTGGTTTGGGCGGCGAGTAGAGCAAAACAGGGAGGTGATGCGGGAGCTGCAGGGGATCGCGCCGCTGCTGCGGCTCTTGTCGCCCGCGAGCCAGACCCCGCCCTACATCCAGGAGCTCGCGCTCAAGGCCCTTCGCAACATCTGCCTCGACAACGGTGCGTGTGCGGTCGTGTGTCGTGTATGTCGTGTGTGTCGTGTGTCGTGTGTTCTGAGTGTTGTGTGCCGACACACACAGGGGCCAACCAGCGGCTGGTGCGGGAGCAGGGCGGTCTGCCCGACGTACTCGCTCTCCTCCTGCAGACCGACAACCATCACCTCCAGCTCGAGGCCGCCGGCACCCTCTCGGTCCTCTCACACGATGGTGCGCACCACCCTCCCTCCCTCTCGCTCGCGCCGCCCAGCCACTAATTCTTTTTTTCTTCTCTTTTTCTCTTTTTCTCTTTTATGACAATAGCGGAGGCCTGCGTGTGGTTGAAGGAGCACGCCACGACCCTGCGGCAGCTGCTCGAGTCGCCGATCACGCCGCAGCACCAGCCCCAGCTGCTGGCCAGTCTCTTCCACATCGTCAAGCGGCTTTGCCAGATCGATGTCAATTTCCGCAAGCAGTCGATGAAGGACGAGGCCCTATGGCATCTGACCAACCGACACGCACACGCGCTCCTGGAGAGGTAACACGCACACGCACACGCACACGCACACGCACACGCACACGCACACGCACACGCACACGCACACCACGTTTCGGTTGGGTGCTTACAATACGGTGTGTGGCGTTGGTCACAGTCTGGCGAGCGAGGCGCAATCGCTGCGTTCGTTCCTCGATCCGGCCAACTTCAACCACTTCCTGCCGAGCAAGCGCTTCGTGCCCAACCTCCAGCGAAGCAGGAACGAGATCACCGGCGAACTCATAGAGGGCTCGTCGTCGCCGTCGTCATCAACCGCATCAGCCTCCTCGTCATCGCACAACGGCCCGGATGGGCACGCAGGTCTACGGCGCAGTCGTTCGTCCAGCGTGCGGGAGCCGTCCGCTTCGCACAAAAGGAAACGCGAGAACGCACCGGAGAGCGGTGGTGCGCCCGCAGCACCGCCTTGTCCCGCCCCCGAACCCGACATCACTGGCGCCGCCGCCGCCGCATTCGCGCGAGCCGGGCGGCCTGGACCGCCGGCGCATGTTCTGGTGCGGCGGATGCGGTCGAACTCGGCGCCCATCGTCAAGCCTCAGCGCCCTCACCAGCAGGCCTTCAAGAGAACTCGGACCGACGAAGCAGCGTCCAGCACCACAGGCGCGGCGGAGCAGGGACAGGCAGCCAATCCAATTTTGTCGTAAAACACATGTTGCCAACATACGTTACATATAAAATGTAAACATGTTGAAACATGTTCTCTTCTTTGTGCCAGTTCTCTCGGCAAACAACAAGAGGTCGTTTAGGAGAGCATGCGCAGGTGTTGCATTCGCTCAACGAGCCGCTGGGTCTGGGCATCGAGGTTCGACTGCGCCTTGCCCTTCCTGTTCCGCCGTCGCTCGCTGCTGTCGCTGTCGGACTCGGGGTCGGTCGAGTGGTGTCCGTTCTCGTACACCGCCCCCGCCTGCTCGTCCTCCTCCTCCATCGCTCCCTCCTGTCGGTTATTATTGTTATCATCGTCCTCCTCGCTCAGCTCGAAACTGAAGTCCTCCGCGTCCTCGTCCAGCTCGCTCCCTCCTCCTGCCAATCCGCCGGGTGAGTCGGAGCGCAAAGGCAACACGCACACGCACACACCACCGCACGCAACGCGCAACACTACGCAAGAGACGGACCTCGGGCTGGACTGCCGTTGGCGGAGAAAAGGGATCGATTGAGTCGGGGGTTGGACGAGCCGCCGCCTCGGTCGCCGCCGTTGCTGAGGCTGCCTCGCCTGGGGGTCATTGAGAGGTACTCGGGGTAGGGCGACTCCTCGCCCGCACGGCTGCCGGCGTCGTCCGCGTACTCGTCTTCATCACCGCCGTCGCCATTGCCGTTGGCTTCTTCTTCGCCGGCGCTGGAGGCCTCAGTGTCGGTCGACACTGCGCGCCTCCGCGCGGAGGCCGACGACGACGAGGGCGGAGCGCGTTGTGTGCTCTTCTGGAGGGACTGTCGGAACTGCTGCCAGCTGGGCGATGGAAGCGCAGATGACGATGACGAGGCCGGCGACGACGGGAACGGCGCCGACTCCTTCACTTGCTCTGCACGCCGCCGTACAACACAGACCTGCAGGTCAGCAACGTGTTCGCGCGTGCGGTGCGGTACATGTCAAGGTGGTGAAATTAATGGGCTCCGCGTACTGGTGGCCCCGACGGGGGTGGCGCCGACACTGAGTCCAGATGGCGCGGGTCGGCCGGGCATCTGAATCCTGACGTTGGGTCCCGGAGTCCTCTTGGCTCCCTGCTGGTGGCCATCGAGACAGTGTGAGTGTGCACCACACGACACACGACACACACGACACACACACGACACACACACACGACACACACCACACACCACACACCACTGCTTACCGTGGTTGCGGTGGCGGTGGGGCGCAGGGCCGACTTGGGGGTCTTCGTGCTCGCGCCGCCATTAGAGACTCCGCCGGAAGCAACGGGCGTCTGCGGGGGCGGAGGCACCGCGGGTGCGGCCGTCGCGTGGCCGTTGCTGGTCGAGGCCTGTCGAGGCCGGGTCTGCACCGGGGTGGAGAGCGCCGAGATCGGAGCCGCCGCCCGCATAGCGGATCGCTGTTCGATGTAGAGGGCCTCCTTGTCGAGAAGCTGCTGCTCGCGTTGCTGCACCACCCAAGCATTGAGAACACGTCAGTGAGACACGACACGACACGACACGACACGACACGACACGACACGTCAGTGAGACACGACACGATACGACACATACGACAGGGAACGTACATAAAGAATATCTTCTCTCTGCTTGAGCGACTTCTCCCGCGCTTGAATCAATTTTTCCCTCCGGTCGATCTCTTCGCTCTTTCTCTGTTAAAAACAAAAACGATGAGCCACAAGCCAAGCGTTAACGTGGCACGCGAGGCACCATCGAATGAGGAGAGAAAGGACGGCGTGGGACCAACCTTGGCCAGCTCGATGGCGGTCACGAGCGCCTCCATCTCGCCCAGGTGCGAGTCGAGCTGCTTTCGCTTGAGGTCTATCGACTCCTCCGCTCTCTGCACACGAACCCCCAGCTCAGTAACACACACGACACACACAACACACACGACACACACACACACACCACAAAGACACAATAAAAAAAACCGCTGCTGAACCTTGAGCTGGCGCTCCTTGTCGTTGCGTTCGCGCGCAAACTGTCTGCGCTGCTCCTCGAGCACCCGGAACCGGTTCTCAAGCTGTCGCTCCTTCTCCTCGACCTCAGTGCGCAGGTGGAGCAGGACCGTCTCCTCCTGCTTCATCTCCTCCTCCCGCCGCTCGATTTCGGCCAGCATCTGCTTCTCCTGCTCCCGCAGCCGTGTTCGCTCTTCCTCCAGCGACTCTTGCATTTCCCTCTCTGCGCCCTCTTCGTGTCAGTGGCCGCACGTACGCACACACGCACACGACACGACACGTGCACGCGCGCTGACGGGGCGGCGCTCACCTTTGGTGGTGAGCGCGGTTTCCTTGTCCTGAAGGTGCTGCGCGAGGGCTTCATGCTGTTCCACCTTCTTCTGGAACTCCTGAATCCGCGCCCATAGCTTCCGCCTCTCGGCATTGACCACCTCTGAACCCACCAACGCGCACGCACACGCACCACCGCACACGCAACACACAACACAGCACACGCGCCACCGCACGCACACGTGTGAGACGGGTACTGAGGATGCAGCGAGAGAGAAGTGAGGGAAGGACCTTCTCGCTGGGCTAGAGCCTGCTTCTGCTGCTCGACCTTGACGTACTCGTGTTCGATCTTCTTCTCCACCTCCTTGAGCTCGTGGTGCAGGAGGATCGCCGCGGAGAACGCGTTCGCCGGCCCGGCCGGAGGACCGGTCGACGACGACGACGACGTTGGCGACAGCGGCGAAACCGCAGAGGGCGCGCCCGACGACAAGCTGGCTGGTGGCGACGTCGCGGCGTGGGCGTGGGCGTGGTGATGGGCGTCGTCGGCGCGACGATGACCGGTCGGCGGCTGCTGTGTCGGCTGCTGCGAGGGCGCTGCGAGCTGCGAGGGCGACAGGGCCGAGGATGATGGAGACGACGAAGAGTAGTAGGACGAGGACGAGGGAGAGGTGGTGAAGGGCGTGGAGAGGATGGAGGTGACGAGCGGCGGCGCGTACGACGCCGAAGCGGCCCCGGCGTGCGGGGTCCGTGAGCTCGAGGCGTGCGCGTGCTGTGGGTTCCGGTGCGAGTCGAGCGAATGATGACCGGCGGCACTGCTGTGAGCACCAGTCGCCGGCGCGCGCGATTCGTAAGAAGACGAGGAGGTGGCGGACGACGACGGAGGAGCCCACGAGCGGGCGCCACCGGCGCTCACCGAGGGTCGCGTCGTCGACGACCCACCGTTGCTGCCGCGGTCGCCGGAAGATGATGAAGAGAAGAAGGACGAAGCCGACGACGGTGCCGTGGTCGAAGGAGTGGGCGGGAGCGGGGAGAGGTGGGACGTCGTTGATGAACCGTACGTCGAAGAGTAGGAGGAAGGCGACAGAAACGAAGAAGAAGAAGAAGAAGACGTTGAGGGCTGCGCTCCTGGGCGAGCAGTAGCGCGGGCGGCAGAGGCGAAGGAGGAGAGGCCATCGAGTGAAGAGGGCGAGAGGGTGGAGGCGGAGGCGGAGGAGGAGGGAGACAACCTCGGGTCGGTCGTGGTGGGCTTGCCGTCGGCGAAGTTGCGGATCTGCTGCGCCACGGCCGACTCGAGGCCCTCGAGCGTCTGGAGGAGGAACACGAGCGATGACGGTTTCCCGTCGCTCAGGGAGGGCGACAGCGGGGGGCCGCCCCCATCGTGGATGTCGGATGAACCAACCGAAGATGAGGGGACAAACGGATGAGCCCCGGGGGGAGCAAGGGGCGGTGAATCGGTTAGCCCGGCGCTGATGCGGCTGTGTGTAGATGATGAGGGGCCGGATGAGAAAGAGGAAGAATAGGAAGAAGGCTTGGTGGATGAATTGCTGTTGTTGAATGCAGAGGGTGCCGAGTACGGCGTGTGGAGCGAGGAAGAGCCTGAACCGCGCGGATTGTGCATCTCGTCTCCTCAATTTTAGTGAGGAAAGAGCAGCGGGGCTCCAGATCGAGGATTGGAGGTCTGTTCCCGCCCTTTGGAGTATTTCTAATTGTTTTTTTATTATTTAAATAGAATCATGGCCCAAGAGATGGAGGCGCAGGAGATAGTCGAGCTCTTGGGCATGCTGCCTCACCCCGAAGGTGGCTACTACAAGGTTTGCACGTGTTCCATTCTCCTTCCCTTCTCCTTACCCGTAATCGATGCGTTCATCTGCAGTCACCGTCCAAGGATGGCTGCATTCTTCCTTGCTTTGGGCTAACTCAGGAGTGGGCACGGTGCAGGAAACGTTCCGGGCGCCGGCAGAGAAGGAGGGCGAGCGCGGGGCGTGCACGGCCATCTACTTCCTCCTCGCCGAGGGGCAGAAGTCTCACTGGCACAAGGTCGACGCTGTCGAGACCTGGCTCTGGCATTCGGGTGCGTGGGCCTGCATACACGAACCCCAAAGCAAGCAATGATGATGGTACACAGCTGTCCATCATCGGTCACTCACAGGTGAGTGGGACACACAGGTGCGCCGTTGGAGCTGTCGATCTCAGAGGACGCTGAGACGGTGAGCGCCACTGTGCTTGGAGCCGACCTCAAGGCTGGGCAGCGACCGCAGGGCGTCGTGCCCAAGGACGCGTGGCAGGCTGCTCGGTACGCACATTGCCGTACAATGCGTCATGATCGTGCCTCCTTCCTGTTGTAGAAGCATCACTCACCTCCGTCTTGCTTGGTGATCAGATCGCTGGGCAAGTGGACGCTGGTGAGCTGCACCGTGGCGCCCGCATTCGAGTTCTCCGGTTTCACTCTCGCGCCGCCCGGGTGGGCTCCCGGCAAGCCCCTTGCCTAACGCGTTTTGCTTTGCTTGCACCTCCCTGTGGTTAGTCTTGTGCGGTGGTGTGTGCGTCGTCGCTGGTTTTTTCTGGCCAAACCAAGAACACAATTCTTGGCTGTGGCGACGCAGATGAAAAATTTGAAGAATGCGGTGAGCGAATAAACGGCGCATAGTTGCCAAAGCGTGGGCTTCCGCTATCGGCCCCGCGGGATTTCGCTTCAGAGGGCTGTCGACGTCGACCCAACACACGGGGAGCACACAAGCTGCTCTCTCCGCGGCTCCCCTTCTCAAACGTTCGGACCGAATCAACAAGAAGTAGAATCGCAAGGCCTTCCATCCACACCTCTAGAACCTCTTCTATTCCTTCGATCATCATCATGAGCAAAGACGATGAATATGACTACCTTTTCAAGGGTACTTGCCTCCCTGTTATGCGGAAAGTAGACGATAGATCTGTCATCTCTCCAACATTCAAACTTGATCGAGTGCTGGCGCGTGGATGATTGAATTGAACCTCTTGTTTCTTCTACAGTGGTGCTGATTGGTGACTCTGGCGTCGGTAAGAGTAATCTGCTGTCGCGGTTTACACGCAACCAGTTCAACCTCGAATCCAAGTCCACCATTGGTGTCGAATTCGCCACCAGGAGCATCAAGTGTGACAGCAAAACCATCAAGGCCCAGATTTGGGACACAGGTACCAGCCTCCGCCACTCTGCCCAAACAACATTTCATCATCTTCTTTTGGGGCGCTCTACTCAAAGCTGCTTTCTTCATCTTGCCAATTTGCCTTGCGATCGCGCAATCGTAGCGGGTCAGGAGCGCTACCGAGCCATCACGAGCGCGTACTACCGAGGAGCCGTCGGTGCTCTGCTCGTGTACGACATCTCCAAGGCCGTGACGTACGAGAACGTCGAGAGGTGGCTCAATGAGCTGCGCGATCACGCCGACAGCAACATCGTCATCATGCTCGTCGGCAACAAGAGCGATTTGAGGCATCTGCGCGCCGTGCCCACCGAGCAGGCCGCTGCCCTGGCTGAGAAGCATGGTCTCTCCTTCATCGAGACTTCGGCCCTCGACTCCACCAACGTCGAGCTTGCCTTCCAAAAGATCCTCACCGGTGCGTCCCACCCGCTCAACAAGACCTGACCGCCCATCATCAAAAGATGGTCCACCCAGATTTATTTGTTTATTTGTGTTCTTTCTTTCTCTGTTCGTTATCTCATGCTTCCTCGCCCCGTGTGCAGAGATCTTCCACATCGTTAACGGCGGGAAGCAGCTGGAGACGAAGAAGGACTCTCAGAGCGTCGACGGCGAGACTGAGGTGGTACAGGTCGGCGGCGACCCAGCCCCCAAGAAGGCCGGCGCCTGCTGCGGCTAAGCCCTCGCTTGACTCCTGTCCATCACGCCGTGCTAGCACTTCTATTCTCTCGTCTCTCTCTACGTCGTCCTTCCTCTTCGTCTTCTCTCTTCACCGCTCGTCGGCTTGGCTGGGGCGGATCTTTCACGTGCCCTACACCTCTCGGCCTCCATCTTTCGCTTCGGACTTGCTTTAGCTTCTTCCGTTTCCTTCCGGCATCACCCGCGGCCCAACGTTTGCGCAAGCCAACCACGCAGCAGCTCCTTCCACGACTCTTCTTCTTCCTTCAACTACGATCCGGTCAGAGAGTGACGGCGGACGAAGTGCCAGCACGCACCAGCCAACCATCACCGTATCATCGCCACCACCAGCTTTATGTTCTTCTTTTGTTTGTGGTTAGTGTTTGTGTATATAACAAATTAATGTGCAACCAACAAGCCAACCAATGAAGAGAGGGACAACCCTGTTTGCAGAGCCTCTTCTTCTCTTCTTTGCTTTGGTCAGCCCCCCCCCTGCCCTTGGTGACCCCTAGGCGCCCGGTCAGTGGTAACGCACCAAACAAGGAAAGCGTGCCCTTTCGGCCAGCAAAGACGAACACAACCATCAACAAGCAGCCAGCAAACAACACAACATGTCCACTGTACATCTTGCCCTCCCTCTTTCTCTTCTTCACCCTTAATCTTGCTGGGCTTATAAGAAGAGGAACCCTACAGAAGGAGATTGTGCACACGGACGGGAGCACCTATGTGGGAGAGGTTGACAGCGAAGACCAGCCGCATGGCCACGGGGTGTACAAGTGGACGAACGGCGACGTGTACGAGGGCGAGTGGCACCACGGCAGCAGGGAGGGGAAAGGCCGCTGCGCCTATGGGTCTGGCAACATCTACGATGGCCATTGGAAAGACAACCAGAAGGACGGCAAGGGCAAGTTCACCTGGGAGTCGGGCGACGTCTACGAGGGCGAGTGGGCCGACGACGAGCAGCACGGGAAGGGAAGCTACACCTACGCCTCGGGCAACTCGTACGACGGCCACTGGAAGCACGACATGAAGGACGGCAAGGGCAAGTTCAAGTGGGCTGCGTCTGGCAACGCGTACAAGGGAGAGTGGGCCGATGACAAGCCGCACGGCAAGGGCAAGTTTACAAACGGAGCTGATGGCCGCAAGGTCCTGCGCCACTACAGCTCTGGCCAGTGCACCCTCGAAGAAGAGTACCACAAGGACTCCTAAGGTGACCATTTGTACATTTAAATATTCTTTTCTCTCTGCTTTTCTCTCTTGCTGGAACTTTTCTTGCCGTTCGAGCAGGATCAAAAAGCAAACAAGAGATGGGCACGCGCGTAGGAGAACATTTCAATAGCGATTGTTCTCCTATGGGGCCTAGTACTTGGAAAGCTGCGTCGTGCCTCCGTTTTTTGTTGTTGCACTCTACCGCTCGCCCTCGAATCAGCAATCTCACCACCACCGAACGATGAGATCCGTCAGCTCCTCCCGCATCGCCCTTTCCTCGGCTCCTTTGCAGGTACCGCCCTGAATCTTCCACTTTCCAATCCCTCCGGAACAAGATGGACTCATCTTTCTCCTTCATCTCAGCGCCTCGGCCTCCGCACGGTGAGCACGCACTCTGCTCAGCTGATTGACATGAGCAAGACCAGGCCCCTCGCTGGTACGGTTACGCTTGCTCTCTAGTTGATTCTCTCGATCTCACTCTGATGTTGGGGGCACAGGTGGGGACGTCATCTCCGCCAAGCAGTTCGACAAGTCGAGCATTGAATACGTGTTCAAGGTACACTGGTCATGTGTGTGGCTGCGTGCGGCCGATCTTTCGCTCACAGATGCTTTTTCTTTTATGTAGGTTGCCGCTGGCCTGAAGAAGGAGGTTGAGCGCAACGGTGGCGTCGATCTGCTGAAGCACAGGGTGCTGGCCAACGTGTTCATGGAGCCTTCGACGAGGTAAGCGTGATTCCGCCCTTTGTGTTGACCGCCTCCCAGTCGCGACAATCACGCCTCATGGCAGCTAACATATACACAGGACTGCCTCCTCCTTCCACGCTGCCATGCTGCGCTTGGGCGGAGCTGTCGTTCCCATCAACGAGCTTACCTCCTCCGCCCAGAAGGTTTGTGTTCGCCTCTCAGAACAGCAGACCTCTCATTCACACGCCTTTGAATGCTCATATTTCGAGTCATGCGTGTACAGGGTGAGACGCTGGAGGACACCGTGCGCACCATGGAGAACTACGCTGACGTGCTCGTTCTGCGCCACCCGAAGGTGGGTTCGGCGGCCACCGCTGCTCACTACGCCCGCATTCCGGTCATCAACGCTGGTAATGCACGCCTCCCAAATAGATCTGTTGCTGGGCGCGTTACCGACACATCCATCGCCTGATTGCTACTTGCGCGCAGGTGATGGTCAGGGCGAGCACCCCACCCAGGCTCTGCTGGACTTGTTCCTAATTCACCAGGAGAGGGGATCCATCGACGGAGCCAGCATCACGCTTCTCGGTGATCTCAAATACGGAAGGTACCGCCCCCCCTAAGCAGTAGTCGTCCATTGACCCCAAACAAACCTGACGACACGCATTGTTCTCAGGACCGTTCACTCCCTGTCCGTGATGCTCGCACTCTTCCCCGGCATCAAGATCAACCTCGTGTCGCCGCCCAACCTGGCGATGCCCGCCGAAGTCGTCGCCGAGGTGAAGGCCAAGGGTACGTGTCTACGCGCAAACATATATGTTCTTCGTGAACGCTTCTTCAAGTGCGGCTGGGTTAAACGTTTCTCTTGTTGATTGATCGGTACAGGCATCACCGTCACTGAGACGGCTGATCTCGACGCCGTCCTCAGCACCACGGACGTCCTCTACCAGACCCGTGTGCAGAAGGAGCGTTTCGCTTCCCTCGAGGAGTATGAGAAGTCCAAGGGCGCCTACATCATCACTCCCGCTACGCTCTCCCCCGCCAAGAAGGTGCGCCCCGTTCTCGCCCTTGTGGCCGCCTTACGTAAGGAGACTTCCTCTCATCACACATCACTCTGCAGAGCCTGTTGCTGCTTCATCCGTTCCCCCGCGTCGATGAGATCACCCCCGACGTCGACCAGGACCCCAGGTAACGACATCCACTTGCACTTGCCGGGCGTCGTGCCCTGATCTCCATTCTCTGTACACGGACACAACTACATTCTCACCGCGGTGCAGGGCGATGTACTTCAAGCAGCCTCAGTACGGCATGTACATGCGGATGGCGCTCCTCGCCTCCGTTCTCGGCAAGGAGGGTCCCGTGCTCTAAGCTTAGAGTCGAGGACCTCGCATTGGCCACACGACAGAGGTCGCGCGCCTGGCACACCCACCCACTTCCAACAAGACGTCGCAAGTACTCCCACCATGGTCACCTCCTGTCGCCTAGCTTTATTTGGCAGTTTCTGCTTTATTATTTCACGATTATTTTGATTGGTGCTGCAATTTCGGTCGACGCCAGCGGAAAAGAGACGGTTGGGAGAGGTACGTGAAGGAATGGACGGGTTTTCTGGTCGCTTTGCGCGGGGAGCGGGCCGAGCTCGTCGTTGTCTTCCTGCGCGAGCGAGCACCCTTCAGCGCTCTCTCCCTCATGGATGAGTGCAATTACGAGTCCACCCGCCAGGCCAACGATCTGGACTGGGGGAGAAGAGGGCTAAGGGAGGACGAAATTTCTACCAACTGTTGCGAACGAGTTGGAGAGCGAGGCGCGCAGTTGGCGCCCATAAATGCTACTCGGCACGTCTGTTCCTCTCTTCTCATTATCATCTACCACACAAGCCGTAGCAAGCAGTCGCTCCACCACTCCTTCGCAAGCCTTCTCTCTTCTCTATCCCACCTGCGCCGCCAAGGTACATTCGCCCTTTCTCACTATAGCACTAGTCAACACAGCCGTTACCAATCCATCGGTCTTCTTTCTTGTTGGTGCTGCCCACAGAATGTCGACCCCAGTAGTTGTGCCCGTTGCTCCCGCCGCGCCGGTGGCGACGACCACCACGGTCTCCACGCCCGTCAAGCAACAGGGCTTCTTCGGGCGCCTCAAGGCCAGGGCCGACCGCAACCCGCTGCTGGCCATCCGCCGCGTGATCTGGATCCTGCTGGCCGGTATACCGCTCGGCCTGCTCTTCCTGGCCGCCGCGCTGGCCTTTGCCGTGACCATCATCGGCGTGCCGGTCGCGTGGGAGCTGTTGAAGCTGGCGCGGTTCGCATTCCTGCCGGTCGGCTACAAGGCCGTGCCGCGCTCGGGCCGCGGAAAGAACCCGCTGCGCAACCCCAAGTCCCCGTTGACGATCGCCGCCAACATCGTGTGGGCCATCTTCTTCGGCATTCCCATCTCCGTGCTGCTCCTGTTCGTGTGCATCATCCAGGCCCTCACCATCATTGGCATCCCGTCGGCCCTCCAGTTCCCCAAGCTCGCCATCTTCGCCCTGTGGCCCATCGGCAAGAAGATCGTCAGCAAGCAGAAGTACAAGGCCAACAAGCAGGCCCGCAGGGACCTGGCCACCGCCGAGGCCGTCAGGAGGAACGAGGCCGCCGCCCTCGCTGCCACCACCCCCATGGAGAGGGTGTAAAAGCAATGGCCAACCTCTCCTTTCTTATCGCTTCATCTTTTTTTATCTGTTTTTGCTCTTCTTCTTCTTCAGTTTATATCTTTCCCTTTCTCCCGTTCAGCAAGCGAGGAGGATGCGCGTGTACAGAACATATGTTCTTCTCTTGTCGATACCCCCCACCCAACCAATAAACCACCTCACCCACACACCGCTACGGAGCTTGCCAGTTGTTCTGCCCAATGGCAAAGGGTTGTGTCGGCTGGTCGTTAACGTGGCGGTACAGCTAATTCATTATCCGGGTAACTGTTCGTGGTTGCCGGCAGGGAACAACGAAAAGAACGAAAGCGAAAGAGTGAAGAGTGAAGAGAGAAGATCGTCGTTCGTTCCGTCGCTCTAGTGGTCTCGCTGCCTTTTTCTCCGACGTCGTCGGCTCCACCTGCCCTGGGTACCAATCCTCCCTCCATCTTCCTCCCTACTCTCTTTCTCTTGATTAGTTGGGGGGGGCGCCCATAAAGACACGCAAGTTTGAACTTATTGGGGGGGGGGGTATTGCGCCAGCTCTGGAGGCGATCGCAGAGAGCAAAAATGGAGCGGAAGGAGGAAGAGAAGAACTCGGCCGACGATACGACGGCGGTACCGTCGAATGAGGGTCCTCTCGTGGCGCCGAGCGACGACCTCACCGCACCACCCACTTCACCGTCGCCGGCGGCAGAGGTGATCGGCCCTTCCACAGCGCCGCCTGTGACATCCGGGCCGTCCCTCCTCCTCCAGCTCGTGGGCCGATCCCCCGCAGCAGCTGCGAGGTCCACCTCGGAGGGAGCACCGCCGGAGGCGAACGAAAAGAACGAAGCGCCAAAGGAGGAAAAGAGCGAAGCGAAAGAGATAGAGAAAGAGACGAAAAAGAGCGAAGAGTCAGTCATCAGGGAGGAGGACCGCACGATGGAAGCACAGCCCAGGGCTGCGATTCCACAGCAGACGCCACCATTGGCGACCGCGACCGGTCCGGGTGGGCCGAGGCCGACCCTCAAGCTTCCGCTGGCGCTCACCGGGGGAAGCGAGGCCGCAGCAGCGGCGGCGGCAACGACGGCAGCGACGACGATGCAGCGCCGGGAGGAGTGGCTGAAGAAAGAGGAGGAGGAAAAGCAGAAGCAGCTCAACCCGCGCCCGCCGCCGCTGCTCTCGCCGCGCAAGGAGTGGGAGGAGCGGCTGAGCGCCCGCAGCACCGGCGCCACCCCGTCGCCCGCACTCTCGACCCTGCTCTCGGCCACGTCCGGCGGAGGCTCCCTAACTCCCCGCGCCGCCGCCGCCGCCTCTGCGCCGCTGGCATCGCCAAAGTCGTCGACAGTGTCGACAAACACATCCGCGGCGGCGGCCGCGCCATCGGCTGCCACGTCAGCGGCCGGCACGAGCGGGGATCGGCTGGCCAGGGAGTGGGAGCGGCGGCTGGGCGAAGTGGCGGAGCTGCGCGAGGCCAAGGACCGCGCGGTGGCCGAGCTGCGGAAGGACAAGGAGTACCTGCGCGCGGAGATGGAGCGGCTCACGATCACGTTGAACGTGACCAAGCGCCAGAAGGAGTGGCGCGAGAAGGAGATGGGCGTCATCAAGGAGCGGCTCAGCGAGCGCGAGGGAATGCTCAAGCGGCGCGAGGTCGAGCTGGACATCGCCAAGCGCCAGCTGGAGGACCGCGAGGTGAAGCTGCGCGGTAAGGAGGCCGAACTGGGGCGCCTGCAGAGCGAGCGGCGCGAGGAGAAGGAGCTGTGGGAGGTGCGCGAGCGGCAGCTGGCCGAGCGACTGCGCGAGCACGAGCGTACAGTGGAGGGCGTCAAGGAGGAGGCCAGCGGGCGCGACCGCGAGATCGAGGAGCGAGACGAGGACATCGAACGCATGCGGCAGATGCTGATGGACCACCTCCACCAGCTCAACGCCGCACAGGAGGCCAACCAGGCCCTCACCTCCCAGCTCGAGGCCCACTCTCAGACCCAAGTGCGTTGCTGAATGCCTGTCGCCTCTTCCCCCAAACGCCGTCTCATCGTCGTTTTCGTTCTTTCGGAGTCATAATTAACGCTAACGCGAATGCGAATGCGTGTGTACAGGAGCTGATGGAGCGGGAGAAGAAGGAGCTGCACGAAAGGTTGGGCGAGAAGAAGGCAAAGCTGAAGCGGATGAAGGAGGTCGTGGTCGAGAAGGAGCGCGAGGTCGAGGAGACCAAGGCCAAGCTCGACGAGCAGGACACCGCCAGCCACGCCGAGGAGCAGCTCGAGCTCGCCCTGGCGCGGGGCAAGCGGATGGAGCTCGAGCTCGAGGAGAAGGGGCTCCGCCTCAAGAGCCTGCGCGCCAATCTCGAGGACAAGAGCGCCGAGGTCGAGCAGCTCAAGCGCGAGCGCGACGCGGCCGAAGAGCAGGCCGCGCACGACCTCAGTCTCAAGGCGCGCGAGCTGCAGGCCCTCCAGGCCGACCTCAAGGCCCGCGAGGAGGCCAGCCGGGAACTCGAGTCGCGCCTGGTTCATGTCGAGCACGAGCGCGAGCTCGAGCGCAAGGCTGAGGAGCTCAGGCGCCAGGGCGAGCTCGACGCCATCGAGCGCACCATCGCCAAGTGGATGGAGGAGATGCGCGCCATCCACCTCGAGAGCGAGAACGACAAGCGCGAACTGGCCAAGGCCACGGAGGCCCTCGAGGGGCGAAAGGCCGAGGCCGAGCTCCACAAGCGCAAGGCGGACGAGGCCGAGGCCAGGGCCAAGCGGGCCGAGGAGAAGCTGCAGGCGACCGGCATCGAACTCGCGACGGCGCGCGACACGATTGAGCGCCTGCGCGAGAGCGAGAAGGATCTCGACGCCCGTGTGTCGCTGCTCGCCGCCGATGTCGAGGAGCGCGAGGCGCAGATCCACAAGGTCAAGTCGCAGGCCGACAAGAAGGAGCGCAGCCTCCAGGAAAAGCTGGACGCCCTCGCCTCGGTCAAGAAGGACCTCCAGCGGTACATTGGCTTCCTCCACCCCGCTTCCGGCCCCGGTGTGCTCTAGGCCACTCACTTAGCTGCGACGGTGGCGCGCGTGTGTGTGGCGTTCAGAGCCGAGAGGAAGCTCAAGAAGAGGTCGAAGAAGCTCACGCAGTTGGAGCAGCAGTGCCTCGACAAGGATGCCCACGCCCAGGAGCTCGTTCAGGTAGCGATGAATGTCTTCTCCATTCACTTATGGCTTGTCGAGTACCAGTCGACTGACCCGACGTGCGTGCGGTGTGTAGGAGCTGCACGCGGCGAGAAAGACTGTGCAGGAGCACGAGAAGAAGCTGCGGGAGTGGAGCTACGAGGAGACGAAGCAGAGCGCGGAGCTGTCGAAGGAGGTGACCAAGCGCGAGAAGGAGCGGCGCGAGCTGGTGGCACTCCTCCGCGAGCGCGAGACCACGCTTCGCGTGCTCGAGCAGGAGCTGCAGGAGGAGCGCATCCGTGCGCGCAACAGGGACGAGGAGGCCGAGCGCAAGCGCGAGGAGGCCCGCGGGCACGAAGAGAAGTGGCGCGCGCTCAAGCGCGAGAACAAGGCCCTGCGCAAGCGCGCGCACCACCTCAAGGAGCAGCTGGAGGACCAGGCCATCCTGCGCCAGCAGCAGATTCCGCCCATTCCGCAGCTGCTGGTGGCCACCAACGTCAACGCCACCAACAGCGACACCGACACCGATACCGAGAACAGCAACACGCCCAAGCTGCCCCGCACCAACGCGGCGGCTGCCGCTGGCGACGACTCGGACGCCGGCAGGGAAGAGGCCACCCCGCTCAGCCCTCGCGCAACCCCGCGCGCTCAGGAGGCCTCGGTGGGTGGTTCGCTCTCGTTGGCCTCGACCAGCATCGGTGCGTTCATTCTCGCCTCGCCTGTTCACTTTCTTAAGGAAGGCTGACGGTGTTCGGGTGGGGATGGGCTGCTGCCGGCGATGATCACAGCATCGTCAGCGTCGGCCACGCTTGCGTCGGTGTCACCGACGGAGAAGCGTGTTCTCAAGCGCCAGCGCGTGATCGCGGAGATCGTGGCCACCGAGGCCACCTACGTCTCCATTCTCCAGACCGTCGTCGACGTACTTTGTCTTCTTCTCGTTCTCTTCCTCCGTGTGCGGCTCCTGCTGTGTCAGTGGTGACTCACCAGTGTGAATGGTCGCGGCGCGCAGATGTTCCTGACGCCGCTGCGAGGTCCGCGTAACTCGCTCCTGCCGCTCGCGACGGTGGAGAGCATCTTTGCCGGCGTCGAGCCGCTGCTGCCCTACCACCAGCGTCTCCTCGCCATGCTGCAGGAGGCCCAGCAGAAGGACCTCGAGCGTCAGCGACAGAGGGCCGAGCCCGCCGCCGCGCCCACCGAAGCCACCGAGCGCGAGACCACCGGCGACGCCGAGGCCGAGCAGGGTGAAGAGGAGCAGACGGGCGACGGCGAGCAGCAGCAGCAGGAGAAGAGGGGCATCGCGAGCGTGGGCGACGTGTTCCTGGAGATGGGCGACGGGCTCATGGTCTACACGCAGTACGTCAACCACTACGGCGTGGCCCTGATGGAGCTGAGCAGGGCGCTCACCCACTACGCGGCCTTCGGGGCCTACGCGACGAGCGAGCCCGTCATGAAGGCCACGCGCAACATGGACATCGCCTCGCTGCTCATCACCCCCATCCAGCGCATCCCGCGGTACCGCCTGCTCCTCAAGGAGCTCCTCGACAGCACCGAGAAGGAGTCCAGCGCCGACGGCAGCAGCGACTACGAGCAGATCGATCTGGCCTTCAACAAGATCTGCAACATCGCCAAGAGCGTCGACACCCGCGCGGCCCAGCACGAGGACACGCAGAAGGTGTTCCGCCGGGTGGTGGGCGCCGAGGAGTGGCACGAGCCCGAGCGGGTGCTCATCAAGCAGGCCGTCTTCACCACGTCGTCGGCCTCGTCGTCATCGCTGGCGTCGAAGCGTGGCGGCGGCGGCGGTGCCGCGGCTCCGGTGCACGTCTATCTGTTCAACGATCTGGTGATGGAGGTCAAGCCGATCGGCGAGCGGCGGCTCAAGAA